TTAGAAACACCTCTCAGTGTAAAGCACGACAGGTAAGCAGCATTCTTTAACAGCTCTTTAATGACCTTGAAGTTGAACAGTTTCAACAAACCCTGAACATTGTAACATTCATGAAGGGTGAATTGTGTCAGGAGACAGTTGTATCAGACCGCAGTAGTTTTTTACCTGATAAAGTAGCAACTGAATGTACAGTACTGTTAAAAGATTTTTGCACTTTAGATGTTTGGATTCTAATCCATCACTCAGTACCATCAGGGAGGCTTCTGATTGGTCCCAAATTCACTCTGCAGCATGACAACCACCCCTAACATACAGCCAAGAGCTATAAAGAACTATCTTAAGAGACAAGAGGAGCAAGGAGTCCTGCAACAGAGCCATGGTCTTCACATCATGGAAACAGTCTGTGATTATATGAAGAGACAGACGACACTGAGACAAATCCACAGAAGAACTCTGGCAAGTTCTCCAAGATGCTCACAACAACCTACCTGCTGAGTACCTTAAAAGGCTGGGCGCAAGTGTAGCCAGGAGAATTAGTGCTGTTTTAAAAGCATCCTCACTTTACTCTATTTTTTAACAAGTGCCTAAATCTTATGCATGAGGTGCATGAGGAATAGCCATTGCGAAGACTTGACTTGGACTCCTCGCTTTAAATCTTAAAACTCAACTTGAATTCGTTCCTTGAAGTCTTAAGCTTTGACTGTAACTTAAAGTATCTGATTTGGACTTGATTTAGTCAGTTATAAAGAGGACACATAAGTTCACATGACAGCGTTGGAGCCACTGACACAGCCTGGTGTTAGCTGCTACCTAGCAGCCTTTCTCGGTGGGTGAACGACTTTGTCATGTTTACATCGAGGTCAAAGCATCCAAATAGAGTGCCAGGAAGCGCTAATGTGTTAGCCAAGCCGTCCAGCGATCATCAACCTCAGCCGTCTTAAATACGTTGTTCTGTTGTTGTTAAATGACAGGTGAGGAGCAGTAACTTACAGGAAGTTTTTCATAGTGATGCGAAGTATGGATCCTTCCACAAAACGACCGTCTCCTCCAGTTCCATCGCGCTGACTGCCCTTAATCGTGATGGCGGTGCCGGAAGACGTTTGTGAGCTGCTGTTAACTTGACTTACTCGCTGTCTTTTGCTGGGCTCCGCCATGGTTAAAATAAAAAACAGAGCAGCCTGCCTCAAACAACCACAGGCACTGGCGTTCACCCTCGCGCGCCTCGCCGAGTCGTATCTGAGAGCTGGTTGGACAAAGGGAGTCACGTGTAAACACAAAGGCCTACGTCATTGTCAAAGGTAGCGTTCATTATCGCGAGACAGTGTGTACAGCCTGATGAATAAAACCTTCCCTTTACCCACTAATCTACATTTAAAGAGGTTTAAAGCTGATAAGTGTACTTATGTGTGTGTTGACTACGGAAAATGTTTGAATTGCTCTCACGTACTCTGTATTTGGTCTAATTATAGTGCTTTCACATATAATTTTGTTTTGTTTTATTGTGTTTTGCACATGTGCTGTTTGACCTGTTTGGATTTTATGCTTATGATATGAATAAGTCCAAACACTAATGTATATTATGATTTAGACCAGGATTAATTGTTGAATATCCCTGTGATTTCTGTAAAGAGAAACTGATAAAGTTATAAAAATAAATAAAGTCCTGAATGGATATTAAGAATTTTAGTAGAAATTACAGGGTGAAGCCAAATATTTTGTTTTCATTGCATAATGGGGAAAGTACCACAATATAACATTTTAAAAACAAAAATATGGTTTCTCAGTTTCAGTTTCTCCCATTTATTAATACCCCCTTGTTATATCCCAGTTACTGGGTCTGATATGATGAGTTATGTGTGTGTATATGTTGTCCACTTAGTTGCCAGTTGATCAGGTAGACCTAGCTAAAACTAATACAGTCTAATTTGTATTAGACTGCACTTTACTGTACTTGAATGTTATTGCAGTTGTATTAAGAGTGAATTAATCTTAACTAAATGTGGCTGATAACCTGCCAACTGTGTATATAGTTTACTTTCTGTTCTGAAAAAAAGAACATTTATACATTTTCACACAAAAATGACTGTTGATTCGTCTCTTACATGGAAATTGCTTAAGGGATTTCTGCTGCTGCTGCTGTTTTAAAGGCATAGGCTGGTCACACCAAATATTGATTTGTTTTGGTCTTTTTTCTGTTAAGTGCACTTTGTATGATGTTAAACTACTATTCATGGCATTATTTTTGAAAACGTCCTCACTTTACTTTTAGTGCCTACAACCTCTGCGCATGCACAGTACTGTGTGGGTATATGAGAACTGTTTTATGGCAAACTTGACAACGTGGAAATATCATTGAAGACGGGGGAACAGGTAGTGAAGTTTGAACCTTCAATAACTGATTTGTTTTTTCCTTGTTTTTTGGCCATTTGGTGGCAAGTAAACCAGCTGTGAACACAGTATGACCCCTGAAGTTGAAAAGGCGAACTCTTTCACACATTCAAGTTAGGGAGCTCTCTGCCTCTCATATAACATTACTACTGTTAAATGCTCCTCTATGTTCAAATAGTTGCTGTGGTTGTATGGTGTTTGTTGCTGAAAAGATAGTGTACAGAGCTTTTCGGCAGAAAACAAAGACCGGACAATGGGGACAATGACCGTAGACTCTATGCAAAGCCCCATTCTAGGTCGATGATGTAGGATGTTTTTCGTTTATTTAAATCACCAATCTCACGATGAACAGCCTTGGCCGACAGTATTTTGGTTAAATTGGCTCTTACAGTTCTTCAAAAGCTTGAAATTAAAGTTACTTTTCACCTCAGAATACATGAAAACGTTTCGACGGTTCTCACATCATGACGACATTGTTTCTTTCTAAACAGTCTCATGAGCAAATACACAGGCCGTTCGAATCGGTCGGTTAAAACGGTTCAAACATCCACCGTTCATGGCTCGTCGTCGCTGCTTGTCAGTTGTGGTCAGATCAGAATCGCCTCTTTACTCATTGTTCATCGTGAAGCTTGAGATGAATCCCAAACTCAACCAGAACTAGTATATCTGATCAATTCATCACCTCTCACCACAACATGAAGCAGTGGAAGGCCCTGAAGGTTTCACTCTTGCCTGCTGCTCATCGCCACGGAGGCTAGCGAGCGCTTTTCCTATCATCTCCGATCAGAGCAGAGCCGAACTCTGACCGGATCAAATAAGATCAGTGTGTAGGTTTTTAAAGAAATTCACATTCACACTCACAAACACCCTAAATTCACGCATTCAAACAATCACCAAACACTCTCTCTCACAAACACACAATCACGACACAAGCCATTCAAACTATGGCGGACAAGGGACTTCCGGGGCGGGTTTTATATCTAAAAGCCGGATGGAGTCATAGGACAATGAAAGCAGAACATATAGTTGTATGTTGACCTCATGTGGCCATTAACGGAAACGACCACTCTCTTTTTTATTTGATATTTCTTTCATTAAATGAATAAATTATAATTTTACAGATAAGCAAGTCTGCCTATATGAACACAAAATAAGTGTAATATCTTATAATAAAAATAATCATCAAATTATCAATAAAAAATCATATTGCGATTTCTTTGGCAGGTATTCAATTGTGATGAGTCACAATTTCAGTTGGTATGCATTTCATTTTCATTGAAAAAAATTATGATGATGTGGTTTTTGTTGGGTCATTTACCCTGACATATAGAGAATATATAATAAATATACATATATATATATATATACTGTATATATATCATCTCTGTAACACCACAATGATTCATTTATGGTATGTTGTCACACATACAACAAAAAATTGCAGCTCCTGCGATTGGGATATTGCACTTGGCCATATTGTGATAATATTTCAATTGATTGTCCAGTCAATAATAATAATAATAATGATAATTTTATTAGTATAGCACTTTTCAAAATGATAGTTTCAAAGTGCTTTGAAGAGCAAAGAAATACCAACAGATTAAAACAACTAAGATCCAACTAAAGTAGGAAAACCCAAAAGACTGAGACACAAGAAACAAAAACCACAAACAAACAAAACTCTCAAAATGCATGCACATAAAGTAAAAGATAAGCTCAACACACTAAATGAGAGAAGCTAGAACAGGAAGTTGTAGATGCCTGGCTGTTTAAGTGTGTTTAGAGAAGGAACTTGAAGGTTGATACTGAGGTGGCCAGCCTGACTTCCTCTGGCACGGCATGCAGAGCTTTGACAACAAAGGCTCTGTCACCTCAAGTTACCAACCCTGATCAAGGAACAGCCAGGAGATCCTTGCCAATGGGAGGGTTCATTCAAAGTTAATGAATTGATTGTAAATGTAATTTTAAAGGATATTGGCATCATGGGCATCAATACATTTTAAATGACTGGAAAATATGTAATGCTTGATCTCAATTCCTTTCAACTGATATTATACATAGAGTATATATATAGTACTGTATGTAGAACAGATTCTTGTAAGACTGGTGAGTAAATAATTTTTTTTAATTATTATTATTTATTTTATTTATACTACTATCTCTGGGTACTGCTCAGAAACCATATATGTAGTTTGTCTATTGCACAAGCCGTGTGACCTGTGAAAAAAAGGTGTTGTGAAAATTTTGATTACACACAGTTTTGATTATTTCCATCTCTATGTGAGGAATTACTTAATTGATTTATATCTATTTCAATTAATTGTTATTTGAACTGTATGTCTCCAAAAACCAATGAACACAGTGTAAAAAAAATCTGACCACTGTACACAAAATACAGCATGTTTCTTTGCCTGAAATCCTTTGTTGTTGGAGTCTCTGTCAGTATTAATGGGCTCGCTGGTAGAGCAATCGACTGGTAATAGTGCCGTGTTAGGTTGGTTTTAAGCTGCATTTGTGTCGGCGGCAATTAACTAATCTAGCGTCCTGTGCCCTGTGGGGGTTGTGAGGTAATCTTGAATGGCGTAACAAGATTTCAGTGTCTACTACCACTATTGACTACTTCTAGATGGCACACTGAGTCCGAGGAGCCCTCATCAGCAGCAGTATGTTGGATTTGAATGTAGCAAAGAGACAGACAACAGACTGACTATGTGAGGAGCTGTGATTCTTTGAATAATGGACTAAAGCAGGGGAACTGTTACTGGACAGAAACAGTGCACCTCCACCATCCTGCCATGGAGGGGTCAAATGCAAAAAGAGTGAGTTTTTGGAAGTTGTTTACTTAGACAATAAAGTACTGCTGTCTGGTGAGTGAGATGTGAATGTCTGATCTGGTGGCCATCTGTCAGAGGTTTAGTTGACTTTTGGTCAAGCTGTGAGTGTAACCTCAGCGAGTTTACAGTGGTGGTTAATTTTGAATTCTATGTGTCCAACAGACTTTATATCCTTCTTAATATTATTCATATTATGATAAAAAAAATATAAGTGTATGCTTTATTACAGGATAGTGTTGTTGGGACAATCCAGAATTACCCTTAAGATTATGGGACAATCAAGATGTTTGAATCTGATCAAGCCACTTCATGACAGTCCATTACTGTCTCTAACTAAATTATAAAATATGAAATTACTTTAGTTAGATAAACATTAGGCTACAGAGTGGGTTATCATCACACTCAAGATTTATTAAGTGTGTATATTTTATCCTCATGAGCATCTTTCTGCTTTTTGTGAATACTTAAATGGTCCCTTGATTCTCAAATGACTCAGGTCCCGTCAGAAAACCGAAGTAGCCACATGTTGCATGTAAAAATCTGACTCATGGTTATGAAGTCCTTTTTATATACCAGGATGGAAAACTTGAAAAAACATGGTTGAGTTGTAGTCAAGCGCTCTTTGAGAGATGCAGTATATTGGAAACACAAGGTATTCATCTTTGGCTACCATTGGATGTGCACCTCAAAAACCAAAATTCAGTCAATTAAAAACTTTGCTGATGTTTCTGAGGGTAAAAGTATGTCAGTGCTACATTTGAGAATCAGCTTGTGACAACTGAGTGTCAGGTGTCACTCAGTGAGAGTGTCAAGTCGGGGAGTCTGTGCTAGAGGGAAGGAGAAGTTGTGAGAGATCAGGTGAAGTGACTTTGCTGGAATCCATCCACAATGGCTTCCAACCGGTAGGACACCCGTCAGGTTATCTCCCAGCTCAACCTCTCTGCAGGGGCCAGAGGAGGGACAGGATCTGAAGGCTTAGTGACAGGGACAGTAAAAGGCACAATCCCAAATACAGAGCCTGAGGACCATATGGGTCATCTGTAGGACAGTTTATAACAGAAATATGCTGTTACCTATCTGAGCAAGGCAGGACAACAACAGCATCTACCACCTGTTCCCTGCTCAATATGATCCCTTCCTCCAGGTGATCTGGTTTCACTGGGTGTGGCAGAGGTATCTGTCTGGTTGTGTTACAGCAGGATGTCATCCAATGTGGTTAGATCATGAATGTAATAAATACAGGTATTTATATATTTTTCTTCTGAATTACTTCTACATACGTAGGCCTACATTTCTGTTTGACCAAAGACACTGCCGTGCCAAACCTGACAGGCTGACAGAGCTGTTACATCACCTCTGTGCTCCAAGTAAACACAGCTCACCTGCTTAAGCAACGCAGCGGGCACTGTCCCTTTTAGCCTTTATCTAATTATACCTTCTGTCCAATCAGGTGAAGATCAAAATAAAGAAAATGTTTTGACAAACCAGTTTTCATACAGCAACGGTAACATGTTTAGCTCTGTCAAATTACTAACGGGGTGTCTCTTCTTTTTTCTTCTTTCACACTTTTTAACCGACAGAAACCAGGATATGGGCATCACAAAAAAGGTATCTTAATGCTGAGCAACACAAAAGAAGCACCCATACTGCTGATGATACTGTGGATTAGAATATCTGATTGATAGAAGAATCACTCAGCTGTTACAAATCAAATGTTTGATTGCTTAATCAGTTTGAACAATCAAATATTGTAGATCAATCAATCTCTTTGAATGATTGATTGGTTTGTTTGATAGAATTATCTTTATGTGAAATTAAATCAGACTGGTTACATTATAGTTTTTAAGTGTTATTTGGTTTTCAAATTTACAACTGGTGACTGAAATTATTATACTTTATTTAATTTATCTAATGACTTTGTGACTCAAATAATCAAGAACATACAAATACTCGGTCACTATTTGACAGTCACTTACAGTTTGATGGTTGTGTGGAGTCAAACTTTTTTTTTAAATCTATTATAAGAGTAGTTTTCCATCATTCTGGTTGAATGTATTAAAAGTACAGATATAAGGTGCTTTGTGTTCCTCAGAGAACTCTGTCGGCCACCCGCCGCTGTGCCGTCAGTCCACAGCAGACTTCAGTAGTGACGACAACGTTCAGCCCAGGAAACTGAACGGCTCGTCAGTGGATACACCGAGCTACCAGAACCTGCACCGGGAGCTGCTGCTCAGCCATAAACGGTACAGGAGGCCAAACACTAAAAACACCTTTGATCCTCTCAAGAATTGAAACAGAGCAGGGGTGGGTGGGGGGGGGTGGGGGGTAGGGGGTGTTCCTGTGTGTAACTATGACTCTGGCCGACCGTGCAGGGGTCTGCTGCTGGAGGAGAAACCAGAGCTGAAGCGAGTGTTGGAGCAGCGCAGACTGGAGCTGCACAAGGAGGAGGAGATGGCACGACGGGGGCCCTCAGATCTGGAGACAGAGCTCCGCAAGAGGCAACAGAAGCTGCAAGAGGTCAGAGGCACATAACATACAGTTGAGAGACTTTTCACAAAGTGATTATAAAATACAAATGAATTCACTTTGGCCCAAACACACAGTGGTTATTACTGTTACAACAAGAATTTGAGAATTCAGAGATTTTAAGGGCAAGTGCCTCCCAACCTTTGTCTTTGCCTACGACCCTTTACAAAAAAGTGCATTGGTCTATTGTCACATTTCAGATTTCTATGAGTTTTCTAACAAAGAGCCTAAACTCCTACAAACTTCTCAGATGGTTTTATCAAATAAAAGTTCCGAAGAGGTCAAATTATATATAAATATTTCACAAAAAGCAAAGATTAGAGAAAAAGTCCAAATGAAAACAAATGTGTGTATCAGAACCTGCTTATCTCCAGACCCCTAGGATTTATCTGGTGACCATTTTAGAAGGAGCCTGATCCCTAGGTTGGAGACCTACAACCTAACTGTATATAAAATAGTTTGAATTAGCTTCGTCTCAACCAGCTACACCAGTGAAATTCTACTTACACACTGATGCATACGCATTAACACTGTCATGTCACACGAGCCATTGTACTGCAGAATAAGTAGCCTACTTGTACTATTGCTTGAGCAGGATATTGAATGAATGGTTTTTGCTAGTGGTGTGTGGAGCACTTCTGCATTGTCATATCTGTATTTTTACTTAAGTAAAGGATCTGAGAGACTTGGCAGTAATGAAATTTCCATATTAAAGGTTTTCAACAGATGATATCTTGTGCCAGTGTTAATCAGCTCTAAATGTTTATGGCCAAATACCCCCGAGATTTGTTATCCGTCTCAGCTCTTGTGAGGTTAAAAAGTCGTTTTGGAACAGCATGTAGACTCTGGGACATTTATACTCTCTTTTTAAACCTTTGGTGTTTGAAATGTTGCCCAGACTGAGAGGTAAACTGCTCTTGGTCTGGACCAGCTGGATGATGGATGAGGTGGATGACACTAACTGGCTAAGAGCAGATACACTGACTTGTATTTTTTTTCCCTCCAGTACGAGCAAGAGGAGATCAGGCGGCGGGAGAACCAGCAGAAGATCCCTGAGTTTGTCCGTGTGAAGGACAACCTGAGGCGCACTCAGGCATTTGAGCAGTGAGGCCCTAAGGCTCCCATCAGCCCCTGCAGCATCTCACCATAGTGGCCCTAAATCTTTATGTTCACTGTCTGCTGAGTTACACAGCCTATATAGACAAACATCACAGGTGCACCTACAGGCTTTGGATCTCTTCATGGATTTTAAATTACATTTGGAAATATCAGGAATCATACAAAGGAAATACGTATTCCATATTTAGAAATGTCTTTGTAAAACTTAATCACAGTTCTGTTTCTGATGAGGGAGTGCTCATTTTTTATTTATAATTATGTGGATCAATATTTATTTGTTAAGGGAAAGCTACTACTGTTCAGAGGTTGGATATTTTTTATGTTTTCTATGGTAATTGTACTATTTATATTTTCAAATCAACTTCTCACGCTTCTTCAGGGCCACATCAGTCAAGCCTAATTCTTATTTTAAAACACTACTATTATGGGATTGCTAACAGATGCATTCCCCAACAGATCTGTTTTGTATCAATAGAAATCCCCCAGTGTTACAAATTTGCTTGTTTGTTTATCTGTTTCTGTCATGACTTTTGATTTTTAGTGTGTCCGTGTGCTGTGGAAATAAAGGCTTCGTGGTTTGCAGGGATGTGTTGTTTTGTTGGACACCATTCAAAGCACTGGGGACTGATTTGCATGCAGCTCTTCTCCCTGAGGACTCTCACGGTTCTTTCGCATGGATATGGGACTTTGTTTAATTAGCTGATCTTTTCATTCCATCACGGGACGAGAGGAGAAAGCACAGGCCATCTGGAGGAGGCTTTTCAGGATATATAGGCTGGGAATACCCAAGGGCCTGGTTAAGGCACTGGAGACATTTGGGATAGTCAGTGAAGCCACCGGCTGAAGGTAAAATAAAAGTAGCCTGTTTCAGAATTACATTTAGGTTATTTTAGCAGAAGTATAATAAGAAATGTGTAACTGTGAAATATGTTATATAAGTAAGTAATAATCCTACACTCACTTCTGTACTTTCACATATAAGTAAAAGTACAGAAGTAGTATTTAAAAAAACAACTGTATCCAAATTAAAAAGCTCTCACTAAAGTGTATATTATTAGATAATATTGCATTAGTAGGACAGGATAATACATAAGATTTTATGAGATTATCACATGTTTTCTATGTAAAAGCTGACTCTGTAGAGTAATTATTAGCTGTCAAACAAATGTAGAGGAGTAACAAGTACAACATGTACTTCTGAAATGTAGTGGCACAAAAGTATAGGTATGGCTCTCTGGTAAGGCACCATTATTAAGGGTTTATAAGCTGTAATTAATTACTCTATTAGCAGTTAATAAATAGTTACTTATATGTGATAGATCAACTATAAGCCATTAATAAGAAGAATGAAAATTGTTGACCAGTCACCTTTGGGAACAGTCCAGTCCAAAATCCAGTTATAAACAGCTAATCAACATTAATAACAAGAAACTAAATTGATTAATATTGAACCCTTTATTAATGATATTATTTACATTTATAGGTGACTAACTTTTGCTGATGGCTTTTTACAATATGACTATTACCATTCCTGAATGGCTTACACGTAACACGTATGTCCAGTGCAGACGTGAGGGGTTGGATTTAGATGCAACCAAAGTGTCAGACTGGAGGATGATTTTTTACAACCTGGCAACCTAAAAGTTGTTATTATTAATGGCTCATAACTGGTCCACAAAGCATTACTATGCGGTTTATCAACCATTAATAAAGCCATTAATCACAGTTTATATAGTCATTGTAAATGGTACCTTATCTGAAAGTGTAGAATCAAATAGAAAAAGTCAGGTATATCAAATTTGTACTTAAATACGGCATTTGAGTTGCTTTTCACCATTGTGCCTATTAAAAACAATAATGAAAAAAATGTGCAAAATAATCAAAAATCTAAATGAAGAAATTAAAACCCAGATAAGTGCAGAAAACATTTTACACAACAGACGAAGAAGAAATAAATCTTCTTATCTATGCTAATTGGCAATCAAAAACAGTCTACATTTGTCTCTATTTAATTGGGTTTTAAATGTAATCTAGGATAGATGGGTAGTACAAATTGGCCGACATGAGTGTGGTCTTATTCAACTCCACCACTTACTTACTTGCCAGCTGTCCTGAGTTTTTTCCTTTTTTTTAACCAAAAACTTGTCTCTCCATCGGCCATTCATCCTTCAGATTAAAAGCCCCTCAGCGAGTCGCGTGCTGTGTCAATAAGCAGAGCGTGTCTGGAAAGAAAGCAGCGTCGGACCGGACCATTTAAAAAAAAGTCCGGGGGAGATCGGCGGCGCCAAAAAGTTTACTTTTTCTGTTTAAAAACTTACTTTAGTGAGAATAAATAGTTTCAAGAGATAAACAACAACAAGAACAATGGGTTATGAAGTAATATACAAATTATGTAGCTAGCAAAGATACTTTTCAATAAAGCCTTTCCCCCTTCAGCGAAAAAGTGGAGTTGACTGAAACAGATGTCCCAAGCGTTCCCCTCACATCAGACCAGAGAAAGTGTGGACAGCTGGAGACTCTGCAGAGGGGATGCTGTAGAGAAGCAGAAAACACACCACAAGGTAAGTACACACGATTCTCTGTAGGTTTAATGTGTGAAAGAGAGGGAAATCAACCGAGCAGCAACGCGAGTACAACCCGATGGAGAGTGTGAGGCGAGGGATGCTGTCGCTGAACTTTAGACAGACATTACAGAACAGTTAGCAGCGTAACTGAATTGGCTATTTCGACTGTATGTAACGATTAGAAATACAAACACTTCCAAGGAACATATCTTTATGATACCTGTTCGCTCTTCTTCCATATTGTAAAGTAACCGACAGTTGTGGAAGAAGTATTCACATCCTTTAAGAGTAAAATTACTAATACCACAGTGTAAAATACTTAAAAGTCCTTAGCAGCAAGTAAAAGCACTCAGTATGGAAAATGGGCACTTTCATAGTGTAGGTTTTTAATTTATGTGCACAACTTATTATTTTGTGCAGCAAAATGAAATTTTTCTTTTTTTTAGGACTTCAGGACTTGTAGTTTTACACATCTTCAACTTGATCATGTCTAATCAGCCAAATAAGTGCAAACACCTGTGTGGACTGTATGCTGTAGAAGCGTATTGCATGTTTTTATGTGTGATCAAAGGGACTAGTTATATTAACTGTCAAATAAATGTAGTGTAGTAAAAACTACAACATTTCTCTCTGAAATTCAAGTTAAGTACAATCCTACATCAAAACTGTAACAGCTCTTCAGTAACTGTACTTTCCACCAGTGGTAACATATTACATTTAAGTTCCACATTTCAATACAATGATTAGGTATTTTAATTGTAATTGTTAATTGTAATGCATTGAATATTTCAATTATCTGCCATTTTCTGCTTCCTTTTCACTTCAATTCAATGGGACTATACTTCACTACATTATTACATTATTTGACAGCTACAGCAACTATGACATTAAATTGATTCTTACATGTTAACGCATCAGTGGTACTAATCCACCATTCTGCATAATGATTACATTTACCTGAAATACTTTAAGTACATTTAGTTGTTAATACCTCTGAACTTTTACTTAAGTAAAGATTTTAATTCAGGACGTTTAGTTGTAATTGATTATTTTCATAGTCTGGTACTGCTAATTTTACTTAAGATGAGTATTGTCTTCCACCACTGCTGATCCTCTAAGAATCGTGCTTTATTTGTCTGTTGACAAACTGTGAAAGAAGAGGTAAAACTATCATTAATTATGATTAATGAATACTTGAGTTGTTGGAGTTGTTGAGTGTCTGCAGATCAATAACTTGCTCTGTATTGTACCAGTAATATAAACAGGTTGCTTTCACAGAGAGAAAACACTGTAGGACATATTTGGGGCAACACACTGGTTGGTGGCAGTTGTTTGTGCCCACTGCAGCAGAATAAACACAGCCTCCTGCAGTCCACATGTTGACAGACATGCAGTGTTACTGTGGTGCCAAAGACAACACCTCTGTGTTGTTATGCTCCTGGAGTCCCCCCAGGTCTTTTGTTAACAGTGGGTACTTGTGGGTGAAAAGCTTTAACCACATCCTGCCCGTGGCCTGGGATGACCATCAGTGTCCATTCAGTGGCCTCAGAAATGATGACTCAGAGGGACAAGGTGCCATGATCCCCGGCCAGCCCTTCAGCCTCTGGTGAACAATGGAACATCTCTTCTTGCCCTCTGTATTTACGCTGTCGCTGGGCTGTGACAGAGCTGGTGTGTCTGGCCAGCATATGGCCTCCAGAGACCGAGAGCAGGCCGGTAGGTGCTTATTACCCCTGCATTGTCTCTGTTGGAAAACTAAGACCCCTGCATTACTGAACAGTGTGTGAGCCTTCTCACAGCTATGGCTTAAATGAACTTAATGTTATCAAAGCCTCTTGTCTACATTTTGCTGCTGTCTGTGGAGTTTCCAAACTCTGACTCCAGTGACGTGCTTTTCTAAAACAACACTCCCCCACATTGATGCACTTTTCTTCCAGCAGCCCATACTGTGTACAGAGTGGATCCATTTTGCTGAATGGATTTTGGCTTTTCATCAGACTCTGAAATAAGGCATGCTGTAAAGTCGTTTGGTTTCTTCCATAGTATCAGCATTCAGTGGAGAATCTTAATTACAGGGTTTGAACAGGCCTCGGTCTGGTTTCAGGCATCCCTCACTGTTTCCTCGGCGAGGCTGGTCCCCGTTGGTCCGTCGGTAATTCCAGGGCCGACCACAGTGGTAATGAGCACGGCGGTGGTGGCGGCATTCCAGGAGATTGCAGCTCCAAAGGCTCATGGGAAAGGGTGGTGGGGGAAGTCTGCGAGACAGTGAATCCACATCATGATCTCTTGCCATAAACACCCACTTCCGTAGATGTTACACTGTCACGGTCCGGTGAGCGAGCGAGGATGGGTGGGGATCCTCAGCTTCCATGTCTGACACGTTTCTAGATCGTCTTCATTAGCGGTGATCACACACTCCCCTCAATTAAGATGTTTTGGCTACATCTATGTAGTGGAGACTGAGCTATCAGCAGCTATCCCTTCAGGAAATGGACTGCTATTCCTGTTCCACTCGATCAAGACAAGTATTGTTTTTTTGACTCTTCCCTAACTGTATAATTTCAACGCTCCCACGACTCCAGGTTCTTATGAAATCCATGATAAATGACTTCGCAATGAGCTGCAACTTCTAATGAGATTTGCTGTTTTACCCGAACTCACCCACCCACTCACCCACCCACCCACCCGCTCTCTCAGCCTAGACCTCCGACCACAGACTCTTGTGAAAGTCTTCAGAGAGTTATGGGGTGTAAGTGGGTAAATCCCACATTACCCGGCCTGTCTCTGATTACCAGGCTGGATTCCTGTCGACGTCATGAGTTTTAGATCGCTGCAGCGTGGAGCTGTGCGTCTGAGAGTACAGCAGCAGGCCCTGACCTTGCACAGTAAAAACTCAGCACTGTTCCTTTCTCCATCTCTCACTGCAGCCTTGTCTCAATATTGGCCCAACAATGCCGCTCCGGCCTGAAGCAGAGTTGTCAGCAGATATTGCGCCCGCAGCAGATTATTGAGGCCGGTTGGTGGATACAGGGCCTTTGTTGCAGTGTTGTTTTACTGACTCGAGCTGCCTGGCTGTACTTCATTGTGCTACCGGCTGCTCATAGCTGCGTCAGTTCACATGAGTTGCTGTGGTGAATGGGTCAGGCCGACGGGATACACAATAATATCCTGTTAGAGGAGGTTCTCATCCACACGGGCTCCGAGTCTTCCTGGTCCCTGCAGGAAAAGGCCTGATACCAATCTCCAAACACAGAGGATGAGACAGGAGCTGAGGATTATACACAGCAGCCTTAGCAACACATTCATTCATGTGGTGTCTGTTTTTATGTCTCCATGCCTCCCCTTTATTCCTGACTAATAACACATCATTTACTTCTTCTGTGTGTTTTGCTTACATGATTCTGACACAGAGGCTGCTCCAGGTCATAAAGTTTATGAACTGTCCCTTTTATGAATGTGTTGCATTGAAGTAAGACAAGCTAATAATATCTTTCAATCATGTTAGTGCCCAGAACATTCTCTCATGTGATCTTCTGGCCTTTCTACGGAGGAGTCAAGGTTGGTGGCAGACATGTGACGTCCAGAATAAATTAATTGACCTAAAAAATAAATTCTCCAGCACTTTTTTTTTTATTTTATTTTTCACCACATAGCCACACACACACACACACACACACACACACCTCCTGGCCTGGTTTTAAAAGCCTTGACTTATTCTCCAATTTGTTGTCACTGTTTTCCTCTTCTTGCAGTCGTTCCTCTCTGCATCTTGTTTTAGGTGACTGTCAGTCAGATGTTTGGTGGAAAGCAACAATGGAACAGAGCGGGCCATAAACATGAATTGTGCTCGCTTGTTTGTGAAAGTGTGTTTGTGAAATTGGGCAGCGCTGCACAGGAGTCAGCAGGGACCTTGTGATCTGATGCTGCATGGACAAGCCCAGCATTGAGACATTCTTCCACTTCAAAGCCCCCAGAGGGTTTTCTGGACACTGGTTGAATAGGAGCTGAGGGAGGGGTGCATGGGGGGAACAGGTGCAGTCCATGAGTGGGGTAATTCCCGCTGCCATCTGCTTTCTTTTTCGGGGTCTGGGCTCTTTAAACGCCCTCTGACACGCCTCACGGCGACACACTCCCCTAGCTAGCCACACCGTGCCCCGTCACCATGGCACCACGATTCGGATTAACCCCCGCACATGTGCCGAGTCAACCGTGAGGGTCTGCCTCTTTTGTGATTGAGCATGGGAGGGAGAAAAAAAGGGAAGGAGGAGGGGAGAGATGCAGAGCTGCATGGATAAGTGTGTGAAAGGACACTCGCCAGTCATTCACTTTTGTTAAGTAAAGCAGCAGGAGGGAGCATGAATGAAGCCATGTGGCAGAGCAAACACCAGGAGAATCTGTGGGCTTCTCAGTGATCACTTTAATTGTACTAATCTGAACAAACTTATTTCAACAGGTATTTCAAAAGCTCGAGAGCAGAGAGTCAAAATGACGGCCATCGAGAGTAAAGAGGAGATCAGTGACACTGACAGTGGGATTATCTTGCACTCTGGTAAGAAGAAATGTACAACAGATTATCAATACAGCATCTGATTTCCACACATTTCATGTACAGATCAGGGCTGATTTATCACTATCAAAACACACAGTAATACTCCTAAGATATAGCGACCAATAATAATTTTTTTTACATAAACACAAACAAACATTTTCCTTATTTTCTTTCTTTCTTTTTTTAGTAGTGACTCTGCTTAACAAAAACAAGTGTGACACGAAGGGTACACATATACACATAATGGACAGACATGTAAATGACAATAATAAACACTTATAGAGATATAGAAACGGAAAGAATATGATGTGTATGGTTCGTGTCTGTGATGTCTGTGAGTAAATTTTATAGTTTAGTTTCTGTAGTGACATTTTTAACACATACACTGATACTGATACATCTGCAACAAGCAAATAATGGCCGTCATAGTCCATATATGACAGACAACAGCCCATATGACATTCACATCATGTGATCAGGAGAAAACAACACAGCAACAAACCACTTTAATACTACGCAGCAGTGACCGGCCTATACAAGACATAGGACCTAATGTTAGTGTAAGTCCAGAAGAAACAATACAGTAACACCAGCTGTGGTGCAACTCATGTATGTGATTCTAGACAGTACATTATATACAGTAGAAATAGTGAATTTATTTGTGTGGCTGATACAGTAGCTGATGAGGAAAGCTTGATCTGATCTTCAGTGTGTTTCTCTGCAGGTCCAGACAGCCCCACGTCCCCTGTGAAGGACCTGACCACCCACACCAGAGCTCTGAAGCTGAAGCACCAGTCTCTGGAGGAGCGTCTGGAGCTCTGCCTGCTGGAGCTGAGAAAGCTCTGCATCAGAGAGGCAGTAAGTTACCTCTTACATGACGACATGTGCACAAGATATATACCAAGATATTATTTAGTGCTTAATAGTATGTGAGCTATTTACTAGTTTGTTTGTTGATTTTTTTAAATATATTTATTTATTTGTTTTGAGTTTGGATTACTTTAATTAATTCGTTTTATTTTTGGATAATATTCTCTTTTGATAGTCGTTATTTTTATAAAAATATATATTATTTGTTTATCTAGCATAGATAGTTTGGTTAACTACTATTTTGTTTATGTTTGGGTAATGCTATGGGCACATTTGCTTATTTATGTAGGTAGACTGGTTTAGGACCAGCATGCACCTGGGTGGGCCTGTGGTTTTTTACCAGAGCAGGAGAGGCAGCAGCAAACATGATCTCTTTGTTCCTTGGTTTGCTGCTTGTTTGGATTAATAAATCAAAAAGAAAACACATTGGCTTTGTTTGGACGGCGGATTCTTTTGCCTGTGTAAACCACATATTCATGGTTCATCAGTGGCCTTTTGATTTTATGTTGGATTCAAGTTTGTTTGAGGACAAATAGCCTCTGCAAATAGTCAAGAGGAACATTATAGTAACTCTAAATGAACGGTGAAGTGTTTTGCATGCTTTGTGTCAGGGTGATAGCGTTTAGCGTTTTGTGATCGGCACTTTTATTTTGTCCTTCACAGGAGCTGACTGGTTCGCTACCCTCAGATTATCCTCTGATGCCCGATGAGAAGCCACCTCGGGTCAGAAGGAGGATTGGAGCTTCCTTCAAGCTGGACGAAGGTCTGATCCATCTGGATAAACAGGTACAGGACACGATTAACGGTTCAGTAATTTTGATGAAAGTAAATGAGCAAAAGACACTGTTACTCATCAGCTGCAACTAAATGTCAGAACCTGTCTCTGTCACAGGATACCGAGTTGCAAGCGCTGGAAACTGACTTGGCCCTTCAGCAGCAGATTTATGAGGCGGCCCGCAAACTCTCCCTTGAGGGCAACCTCAGTAAACCACAGAAGAAGAGCCGGCTCCAGCAGTGCAAGAGGGAGGAGAAGAAAGTGAAGGATCTGCAAGAGGCCGTGTTCCAGCACAGGATCAAAAGCGAGTGCAACTCACCGCACATCAACAACTCAACCAGTCAAAACAAAGGTGAAGGACACTGCTGCCCCCTACAGGCCAATATCTGCAATACACCCATGAGCATGACTGACACTTAAAATGCTTGTTTTTCCGCCTGCAGATCTGAGTGTGTCTGATGACAGCTCCCTGTCTGATGTGGTGGCCCTGGATGATGGTGAGAGAGGAGTACATTTATACACATAGGTTTAGATTTCTCTCTTATAAACATGCTTTGATTGAAACATGTAGTCGCAGTAAATGGTGGAAGAAGAACTCAGATCTTTTACTGAAGTAAAAGTAGCAGATCCAAAGTGTAGAAATACTCTGTTACAAGTAAAAATGCATTTAAAACTTTAGTACAAATCTACATCAAAATATACCGGAAGTAAAAATACTCATTGAGAATGTCCCATTTCATAATAATATATATTATATTATTGTGTCATAATTATTGATGCATTAATGTGTACATCACTTTAATGTTTACGTTTGCAGCTGGTAATCACTGAATATGCTGCTGGATAGCTTGTGAATTTTCCCTCAGGGATCAATCAAGTCACATTTTAATGTATAATAGTCCATCATAGTTTACTTGCTGAATATATTTTGTGTTTGTAACCTGAATCTGTAACTGCAGCAATCTGTAATCAAGTACAGTGCTTGAGTAAGTGTACTTACTCTCTACCACTGTGTGTAAATAGATAATGTAGATCTGAGATATTTTGGAGCACCATACTCTGACAGTGGTGCCTCATACTGACGGACTGATTGGCTCTCTGACCGTTCATAGATGTGGACCCGCCCAGCCCCCTCTCTCCTCCAGTGCTGGGCACTTCCTATTCAGAACCCCTTCAGCTGTCAGCCAAGACCCTGCCGTCATCCCAGCAGTCATCAAGCCAGCTCAGTGTGGAGTATGAGCGCTCTCCCATCCAGAACTCTCCATGGAAGGAGTCCAGTCTGGACCAGCCGTACCAGAAGGTCACAAAACCTCAGTCTGCTTGCAGCAGCAGGTCCAGGTAGGAATCTGAAGTGTGATAACCAGCCATGGGATACATGACTGTACTGTGATCTCAACAGCAAATAAATATGTGTTTATTTTTCTGTTAACATGAGCATCAGAGAGAAAAGAAAATTGCATTAGGTTGAAAAAAAACATGTCAGTATTCATCCAGCTGACCCTCATGTTCATAGTTTGGATGGCCCAAACCAGTGTTCCTTCAGTTAAAGGGATAGCTCAGGTTATTTGACGTGGGGTTGTATGAGGTAGTCATGCATCGTCAGTGTGTTACCTGCAGTAGATTCAGATCAGAGCCCTGCCAGTTACGAGAGGCGACCAGGAGCACCGGTACAGAGGTGGAGCGATGTGCTGCTGTGCACGGGGCCAGCAGAAAAAATGTGTTTTAGACACTTTTAATATAAGCCCACCGAAACAATCCAATGTCTGTTTAAGTGTACGCTTCATGTAGAATATTTCCAGCGGTTTATCTTCCCACACCCCCTTCATGCTGCATGACTCATGTCGCCCCTCCTGTTTTTGTTGTGTGCAGTAGTCCAGCAGGAACCCAGGTGTCGGCAGAGAGCAGCAGGATTCCTCTCTCTCAGTTTATAAAGAACTCAGCCCTGTATCACAACCACTCCACCAGTGCCCCCTCCACCCCGGAGCTGCACGTACGTCGTCAGTACTCCCAGTCCTTCAGGTACACCAAAGCATCATGTCAGACACATCAAATGTGTGATGGCCGAAGAGCGTACCCACATGCCTACTTACATTTTACAACTTAACATGATTGTTAACATTGTCTCCTCAGACTTCCCAAAAGTAAGCCGTCTGTGGACATGGAGCGCCTCAGCTCAGACAGCAGCCGAGGGCGAGCCAGGCTGCCCCAGCGGCACTGCGTGGCTGATTTGATGGTGCGTTCTCCGGAGTACTCTCCCCTGCGTCCGTACCAGTCCAGCTCTGAAGACAGCAGCTCGGAGCACTCCTCCTCCTCCTACATCAGCTCCCCTGGCAGGGATGGACCCACTGAGATCCCAAAGCTCTGCCCGCCTCCTTATGGATTCCACCTTGGAGCACAGAAAAAAGGACTCTCCAGCTTCTCCAGCTCACACAAGAACACCAGCCAGTCTCAGCCCAGCCCTGGCTATGTCAAGGCCATTACAGAAGATGGCCCCCTCTCCCCTCAAGACCTGGACCTGGGGAAATGCTTCCTGTCCTCCCCTCCTGTGGCACGCAGCCATCAGCAAAGACAGTGGCAGGAGGGAGCGTCGTCCCCGAGGAGAATCCTAAAGCCCCCTCCACCTTACACCAGGCTGGTGCGAACACCCTCGCTGAAGGAGTACCCGAACCACGCCATTAGGCTGATGCCCAGGGAGATTGTATCAGAGGAGCTGAAGTCCTGGCACCAGAGGAATCAGCTGCAGAAGTTGCGACCAAGCTGCGGAGATCAGCTGAGCTCCCTCGGTTTCAAAAGCCCCACTTCACCTCACCTGCATCCATTTAAACAGGTAATGGTCTGATTTTCACACATACCACCATCAGACAGGGTCCTTAAATCTGGCCTAGAGTTTTAATATACATAAGGCCTGCAACTGACAATTACTTTCATAATCAATTAGTCTGTTTATTATTGTCTAACTTCAACATCAGAACACAGTGTAAAATGTCCATCACAGTCCATTATGACATATTCAAATGTCTTGCTGTGTCCGACTTACAGCCCAAAACCGTAAGATATGAAATTTATAATAATGTTAAGAAAGTACAGAAAAGTACGGAAGCGTGATGCATTCAGTTAAGAAGAAAAAATCGGCTGTTTTCTGAATCAACAAGATCATTTTCTCAGAATTCTGAGATATTAAACTCGTTAATTTTTTTCTCAAATGAATGCATCACACTTCTGTAGAAATGTATAGCAAATTCTTACATTTAAGAGGCTGGAACTATCACATGATTGATTTAGATTTGGCAATTGATGGAAACGATTAATCGATTATTAAAATATCTGCAGATTAATATTTTTATGGTTGTCTAATCGGTATCTCATCTACACAGGTGTTGCAACTCAATAACAATATATTTAACAACGTATTTATGCACAAAGTGAGCTCTGATTTCATGTGTTTTCTGCAGGGGTCAGGTAATGTGATTCTCCAGAGAGCTGCAGACGGGACTCCAGTCCAGTGGTTTGTGGCTGAGGATGCTGAAATCGTGAGCCAGGTGTAGCTGAGACCTCTGCTCCTCTGCAGTATGTTCAGTAGGATGTATGCTATTCCTTTCTATTTATCTCTATATTTATTAAGTCTTTAGACTCTCTGTGAGATCGTATGTTGACATGATGCAGAAAACACGGACCTATCAGGACCCTGATGAGCACAGTTCTCTCTCTTCTTTTAATTTAAAACTTAATGTAAGATGCTATGCCAGTTTTATTTATTTTAAATTGTTTTCTAATGGATGATTATTAAAAAAAAAACCTGAGGTGAACTGAGGTTCATGCAATTCAATAATTGTGTCAAATGGATCATAAACTTGCTGTGGTTTCAAGAGTTGCTTTGTGGCTGGCACACACTTTGCACATAAAATTCACCTACAGAAGTTCTCAAATAAGTTCTCCCATTCCTAATATAATTTAAATGTTACACCATATTTATCTATTATTTAAAGTTTCCCTCTTGCAACATAGAGACTTATTACTAAAACCTTGATACACCTTTTAAAAATTGCATTTATATATATAAATATAACTTTAACTATATATATAGTTAAAGTTTAACATCTGTCTAGCCAGGACGTGAAGTAAGCTGAATTTTAACGTTTGCTATTAACTTTTAATAATTAATCACTGATGCCTTTAATGGTGGTTTGATGAATGTTTTCACTGCAGTTTGGTGTTTTTTACTAACCAAGTGATTGTATCAGTTTTGATATTTTTTGTATATTTATAATAAAAAAAATGTGACTGAAAATGATGTTTGTGGCATTTTTATGTAGAAGTTTTTTTTAACTGAGATAAAGGAACACAAAGTATTTCAGAACACATGGATGAACAACCAGAAGTCTTACATCAAAATGTGATATATTCATATACAAAGAGCTTTAAAGAACAGCTGGTCTACACACTAATGTTCACAGTCAGACAACGTCCTGGTGACGTGGTGTGTAATCCAGTCGAACAGATCACGGCTCAAACGCTCCATCATGAAGCTTCCACAACAAGTAAGTCAACGTGACGACACAGAAAAGCACAAGCAGGTACAAGCAGAGGACGACCCAGCGACAGCGGTACAGCCAGTGAGCCAGGGGACGGTGTCTCCACAAAGATCCACACCTGAAGAGATCAGTCAGTCCGTGTTTGTCCAGAGGAAACAATCATCAATCATCATCAGTCATCAAAAGGCTCTAAACAAATCTGTTGACCTACGTGCCCGCAGAGATCCGCCGGTAGATACTTGCACTTCTTTTGTCCTTGTCTAACTTCTTCTTTGACAGCACAGCTTTGCCCTTGTGTCTCTGTCTCAAAGTATCCAGGGGGGTGCTGTAAGAAGGACACACATTTTATAGACGTTACAACAGTTACATTATGGGACAAAATAACAGATCACTGATAAAACAGAAATTAATTTAACACAGATTCATTTAAGGATATGCATATTATTAAACATAATATTAACTGACACTGCCTTTTGCACAGGGCTTCTTAATAAAACAGGCTCTCAAGATTAAGTAACAAAAGATGAGCAATCTAGAAGAGCTCTTAAAATTTTTGTTTTCAATTGTGCTGGTAATTAACAAACTTGTAATTTATTGAGGGTCTATTTGTGTGCTGTCGTGGTTTTTGCGTTGCCTTGAAAACGTATTGAAACTCAGATATAACTAAATATTATATGAAACTTGTGTAGCTGCTACACTTGTGAGTTTCCTGCTCTGACATGTCAAAACGGTCTGTAGCAGTTTCTCTCTAAATGTTGCCTGTCAGTCACAAACACTGCAAAGTAACATAACAGCGTTTAAAGACAACACATGTCAAACAGAGAAATATTTCACTGTCAAAGAGGAACTGAAAATATAATCATGAAGAGCGTCAGCAAACTGGTGAATACTGCAGGCTCTTGCATTGTGTGGTGTTTCTGTCATTTTGTCAGATAAAACTGATCCAGATCCAGGCCTGTACTTTTTGTTCTGGGTTTTTCTGGTGACCACTTGTTTTGATGGGGGACACTCTGGGTTGGGGATGGGGGATGGAGAGGGGTCTGGAGGAAGCTGAACAGTTGAAACTTCTGATGGAGTTTCATCCGGATCAAGTTGCCTGAAAAAAAACAACAACAACAAAAAAAACAAATCAGGTGATGAGTTGCTGGTTTAAAACATTTCTCAGGTGGAGCAGATACGGAGCGTAAACCCAGAGTGTCCAGTTGACCTGTCGTCCACTGAGTAGCTGTCGTCCTTGGCCATGGCCGAACAGCTGGACTCTGAGCTCTGGGATGGAGACGGGCAGGACTTCCTGCCAGAGGACCCTCCATGAGCTGCCCGCTTCTTCACGTCCCGCTTTCTCTTCTCCTGTAGAGACAAAGTCTCGAGGTCAAAGACACTATGTTTTTTTTGTGTCTGTTTGTTTTTTTTTTAAGTCAAATCTTTATTTATAAAACAGTGCTGTAACAACGTAAACCTATACAAAAATTATATTCTGTTTAGAAATAAAAAATAATACTAAATAAACATAAAGAGTTACGTTCTCAGATACCAAATTATACAAATGATAAAAGTAAAAAATTAAATTAAATAAAATGAAAAAAAAAATTAACCTGATAATGGTGGAACTAAGGAACTGAACATTGGGTTAAAATAAATCATATTTGCATATAAAATTATAAAGTTTGGCCTGGGCGTTATTTACCTTTTTTATACATTTCAAATACAAGTAAAGAAATAATTTTTTTCAAATGCATTCCACATGGGGGGCTTTTAGCAAAGCAGACACTTTGTGTTTTGGATGATAACATTTGTAGACAGCGTGGGAGGGCTCAGTAAAGAAACCTTCTTACCTGGGTTTGGCTGGTGATGACTGATATACTGACCCTTCGACGGCTGCTGCTCTGATAGAGAAAAGAGACAGAGGAGAATAAAAGGTAGAACTACTGTCATTAGATTGTACAGTAAGCCAAAAATATCTCCATACCTGCTGAGAGCTTCTCTTTCTGTTGTCAGCTTCCTCTGGATCTACGACAAGAGACCCAGTGGTCAGTCAAATATTTCACATCACAGCTGCACAAATGCTTCAGACAGACGGACCAAAGCGTCAGCAACCTGGCGAGGCTCTGGGATCGATGATGTTCTGCTGCTGGAGCGTCTTCTTGGCCTCTTCCAGCTCTGCTACGTTTCTGTCATGTCGCCTCCTCAGATTCTCCACGTGAGCCACCATGAGCTCGACCGCCCGACTCACTCGAGCCTCCTGTCAGACAGAAATCAGAGAGGTCGCAGCACTGTTTTACAGCGAGGGGGTCTACAGGTCATTTATAATGTGCTGCAGACCAAGAGTGAACATGTTGCAGGGCAGTGATGCAATAATAGAAACAAATGTTGCGTTGCCAGGTTGTGAGGCCACATTTAACTGGTTTCTTTATATGCTCTCAAACAATGTGTCTTTTCCAGATGTTGTTTACAGTGTAGACTGATATAATACAGATCCTCTCCAGTGTGATCTGGGTTCTGCTTTCTTGTTTTCATGCCTCTGTGCAGATGACACTCAGAGCTGGAGGCTTATTGTTCTCAGGTTTTCAGGTCACATCCTCGTGGGCACGATATCTCAGTAACGCCTTGAAGGAACTTCTTCAAATTTGGCCCAAATGTTCAATTGGCCTCAAGCATGAACTGATTAGATTTAGGTGGTCAAAGGTCAAAGGTCAATGTCACAGTGACCTCACAAAACGTGGTTTTGGCCTTGTGAACGCAATATCTAATATTTCTTCCAATTTGCTACAAGTGTTCACTTGGACTCAAGCATGAACTGATTAGATTTAGGTGGTCAAAGTTCAAAGGTCAAGGTCAGTCTGACCTCATAAAACACCTTTTAGCCATTACTCAAGACTACATACAGCAATTATGACAAAATTTCAAAAAGTAAGCTTAAAGTAGTCTGAGTGGAGGAGGCAGACAACCACGAGGAGGTAATTCTAGTGTTGTTTGTTGCTGTTTTATAGATACTAGTCAGATCCTTTCTATCTGGAGGAAGTCTGCAGAGCATTTGGGCCAATAACTGTTTGTCAATGATGTACCAACCTTTAATATTTTTAGCTGATGGCTTATTGCGCACAGTGGGCAGATAAATTATTCACCTGAACACTAACAAAGTCAAGAATAACAACTTATAAACCTTCTTTTAGTTTAAACAGATTTTTCCTTCTGAATCAAACTTGTAATCGGAGACGGATCATTTCAACAACCCATCTCTCATCTGAGAAATCATCCGTAGAAATATGTGTAACCTGCCTCTGTATTAATGTTTTTTATGTTCTCTGTTTGTCTTCCAAACTGTGAGGGACTGCAGAAAACCTGCAGCTGGAAAACAGTTTAAAGGATCACAGGTTCACACATTTTAAAGTATGTTTGCATGCTACAATCTTTCCTCCTGTTCATATGGGTCATTAAAAGATCCCTCTCTGCTGTGTTTTCAGTGTAGGTGATGGTGGTGACAAAATCCACTCCTCATTCTATACAGAAGTGTATTCAAAAGTTTACTTGAAGCTTATATGAAGCTTCATATGAGACGTCCAAGTTAGACAAATTAAATGAAAATGAGAAATGTGAGAACCTTAAACTTTTTTTTGTTGCTCTGACGTTTTTCCAGCTGTAAAATAAAATACAATGAAATGTAAATGTCTTTAGCGGCGCTGAGCGATCCAGAGGCGAGTCAGTGTACCTGGTGCACGGCCCCGAGGACCTCAGCTGTGTTGGAGATTCGCTCCACAGTCCCGCCCAGGATGTCCAGAGAGAGCTCCAGCCTCTGCAGGATGTTACTCCGCTTGCTGTCCAGACACAGGCCCTTCAGTGTCTGAAAACACACACACACACACACACACACACACACACACACATGTGACAGAGTCATAAAGATTTACTTCAGATCATCCCTCTCGTTCCGTACCTCCAAGGTCTCCCGGCCTCTGCTGAGCTCCAGCTGGATGTTCTCCTCGGCCAGGTTGCGGGCGTGCTCCTCCGCCTGCAGCCTCTGCTTCAGGGTGTACTGATCACAGCGGAAAGCCAGGGCGATCTGAGAGAAGGTGGTCTGAGAGAGCAGAAACAAACTCAGTAACTCAGTCACTCACTCACACACTTGCAACTTTTTCAGGTTTTTGTCTGATTTAAGTCGAGTTTTAATCCCTGCTTCCTGAAGATAAACTATATTCTGTTTGTTTATTTATTATTCTATAAGGTTGAATTGACAATAACAACTAAACTGGACCTTGGAGAAGAAACTGAATGTGATGAATGGTTTAAAGTTGTGGTTGGATGAGGCAAATATGTGAAAGAAGCGAGGGGAAAGCTCACACAATATAATGAAGTTGTTGAATAATAATCTGTGTTGGAAATGTAAAACTGAAATAGGAACTTTCCTACATTGTGTTTGGGAGTGTAGTTTGGTCAAACCACTCTGGATCCGGGTGTCAGACACTCTAAGCAGTTGGCTTGTTGTTGGATGTGATTACAGTCTGTGGAGTTATTTTAAAACAATGGAAAGAAATAGAGGCTCCTGAACTGAAAGAATGGTTCAGTGCAATTGTGGAAACATCATATCACCTCACGAATGTATGCTCAGTAGAATAAATGGCGATCAGGAGGAAGGGGTGTCCTCACATTAAAATGGGAGACATGTCAACCTGTAGTATGACTCAAGATCTGTGACGTGCTTTTCCACTGTTGTTTTGTCTGTTCTGTTTTTCTTTTTCCTTCTGGGTTTATTTATTTTTTATTTTTACCGAGTCAATATACTGGAGTCTTCCCCCATGGAAGATGTATCATGATGTGTTCTATATGTATGCCATGTACCGAGCCTGCCACAAACCAAGGAACATTAAAATTAAAATTAAAAAAGACAATAACAACTAAACTAAACTGAAACTTGAGGAGAGTGTGAAAAGACACATTCATTAACGTCACTTTTTTAAAATAAAAAAGTGTCTTCAGCTCTCACTACTACAAACCAACATTAGGACAGAAGGTCACAATTAAAAGATTCAAAGCACATTCATGCACCACATGTACCATATCAAGTATTTAAAAACACACAATACAAAGAGGAAAAGCTGTTGAATTAGATTAAAACATCATCTAATCTGTAGGATATCATGGTGAATAAGGAGCGGGAGGCCTTACCTCCAAATCTTTCTCTGACATCTCTACACTGTCAGGGAAAAAAGGAGGAGGGTGGAAATCTTAATGAAAGGTCAAATAAAACCATATATATTATGATGTTGTGTGTGACAGTCAATAAACTGCACCTGTTGAGGCCGACGCGCTCTATGATGGACAGCTCGTTCCAGCTGGTGACGGGAAGCTCCTCTTGGCTGGTTTCTGTTTCAAAGATAAGATCCAGGTGAAATTTAGAGCCATGGCATTAATTACTGGTGTTTTATTAATGAGTTTGTTTTGCTTTTCTTTAACTGTTACCTTCCTCACTGTCCTCACTGCCCAGCATGGTGGACAGACTGCAGCTGTACGTCTCTGCTTCAGGCTGAGAAGATGTTCAGAAACACTACCTGTCACTGATCGATGCCATAATCAAATACAAAGTGTTGATCAGTATTAAGAGGAGCAGGCAGCTGGGAGATTATTTGACTCACCTCAGCGTTCATCACTTCATTAGCGGCTGTCTTCAGGAGAATAATCCAAACGTTGTACTCAGGTATAAACCAGATTAAAGCCTTCAAATCCTCTTCATGGTCAACAGCAGATTTTTCATTGTCGCTGAAAACACAAACACATTCTCACAACAGGTTTCTGTCGGTGTTTGGTTCATTTTCTCCCTCAGCCTTTCTCCTGTACTGAGAATAGATAATCCTATTAAGAGATCCACAGTCAAAGCAGAGCAGGACAGCCACCCCAAGAGGCTCATGGGAAGCTCCAGTACATGGCTCAGTCTGTTTTTATCTGGGGTAAATAATTACTGGTGTTGTTCCAGGTGATGAATCAAATGTGACTCCACTGCAGCCGCCATCGCCCTCACAGTCCTGAGAGAAGGAGAACATATATACACTTCACTACATCCTCACGTCCTCTGGCACTAGATTCTCTCTCTCTCTCGTTCTAAAGAGCAGGAGGAAAAAAACTTCTGCTTTACTTTGTTTTAATGCTCTGAGCTGTTGGAAGTGTCTGAGGATCTGAGTGCTGCAGAAAGCTTTAACCTCTCTCGGTTACATTTTATGACCATAATTCATTTCATAGTTGTTTTATTGCATTAAGATTTTAATGTTCTATTCCATCCTTGGCTTTTTTTTTTGTAAACATTTTTTTTTCCATTTTAAAAATTCGAGTAGTATTAGTTTTGACCATTTTCATTTGGTAGCAGTCGCAGATTGTTTGTATTAACTGTTTTAATATCAGCTTGTCTGTCATGTACATAGCACTCCCAATTAAACTTTGCTGTATGCAAGGTAAAGAGTCTGATGGACCGACACAAGCAGTTAAATCCTGAAGCAAATGGAACGATTTCCTGCAAATACATCCTCAAATTAAGGTGAGAAACTTTTTGAACTTGGAAAGTGATGTTCACCAATTCCAAATCACACACACACACACACACACACACACACACACACACACACACACACACACACACACACACTACTCATGTATAGATTAAAGCCCAGGTGATTCAGGCATATATAGATATTTCACTTGACTACAAGTCTACAACCATTTTTACAGACTATATGAACCAAGATAACTACATTACTGAGGAGTCTTGAGCATCGACATGGTTTACAAGGAAAAATCATTGCAACTGAAGATAATTGTCTAAAAAGCATTCATCTCTAGACTATGAGAACCAGTTTCACACCGTCAGTGAACACAAAGCTGACAATTTAAAAAGAAAAAGAAAAAAAGACCCAAAATCTGAAGTTTGGAGCATGTCCTTTTTTTATTAAACAGAAAAGCCGTCATTTAGTAGAGGCGTTGGGGTTTGCCCATGGTGCTCTTGACGTAGAGGGCGCGCACGTTCTGCCAGTTCTTCTTCAGCAGAGACACCAGGAAGTTGACAGCCAGGTGGATGTTGTACACAAGCTCATCCTCCGTCATCTTCACGTGTCCTACAGCCACGGCCAGACAGAGCACCTACAACACAAAGATCAATATACTGTTCAGTGACCCAATGATCCATTTCTTCAATATAAGGTTAGTGTTTACCACTAGACCTGGATTAAAAAAAAGACTGCAATTTGAATGATCCAGTATCGATGATTATAACCCAGAGAGATCTTTGCATTTGTGCCAAATGTTAAGTGCTGGAAGTGGTTAGAGGTGGATGAGTCTACTTTGTGAAAATAGTTATTACATAATGCACAAAAAGGTTATTTTAAGTTACAAAAATAAGATGATAGCTTCTGTATGAGGCCTTGAGTCACAACAGTCCCATAAACAGTGATGTAAAACAGTGAATAGTTCATATTTAAAAAAGGAGACCGCGTTGCTCACTCGATGAAAAGAAATGTAAGTTCCCAGGATCGTTTCTGAAGCATTTTATTCAACATTGCTATTTATCTGATTTTACTTAATCAAGCGATGCTGAACGTACCTTCTTCATCTGGAATTTGATTGTGGATTTGACCTCGTCCACCTTGGTGTTCAGGTTCTCGTTGTGGGTGAGCAGGGAGGGGAACTTGCCAGCCTTGTTCAGACCAGGACCCAGGATACGAGGGATCTGCTTGATCAGAGACTCTGAGGCCAGGAAGGCGTCGTACTTCTTGGCTACAGGAGGACAGTAGAAAGTGAGCAACATTAAAACTCATTCTAAATCATTGGTGTTCAAGCATGTCAAAGGTCATGTTCTGGACTTCGTACCGAGCTTCTTGACCAGCTTCTTGTTCTTGTTGAGCTTCTTGAGAGCCTCGATGTCCATGTGTGGCATGTCGGCAGCTTTGGCCTCGTCACAATGCTGCTGGTCTCCCAGGACGCACACAGAGAACTTGGGCCTGGGGAGAGTCTTCAGCCTGCGCATTAACAAAGCAGTTAGCAACAATGCTCATCACCCCACTTCAAATCCAGGGGTTTTGGTAGTACGGCAGGGTGTGGCTGAGAGAGGTCTCATGTTTACAGTGGACAATGACTGAGTGCTGCAAGAAAGGACTGTGACAGTGACACCTCAAGAGACAGACTGCTCACCTGGACTCATTTATTACATTATCCATCACATATGATTTACTTCAGATTCATGTGTTAATAATCATCAAGTCACTGTCCAAATACTGTACACTATTATAGAATATTATAGTACATTGTATATTCAGCATATACAATCTAGATATGCTTTGTCTCCATTTCTTTTTTAGTTATTGTATATAATTCGTTCTCTCATTCAACTCATTGCTTTGACTCTTTAAAACTTATGATTTCTGTGAAGTGGCTGCTGTACTGAAATACACTGTACAATGAAATGTCCCTTTGAGATTAGTCACTTCATTCTACTATATTTCAGTGTTTAGTGCATGACCTGCAATTACAGTTCAATAAAATTAATTCTTAGCCAAAACTCATTTTATAGATCAATTATTACATTGCAATTACATGCATTCAACTTAAGCTCCTTAATGTGAAATAACATTTGGTTTTACATCTGGAAACTTAAAATACTCTGCCGTCCTACAAATGTACACCTCCCTGATTTTACTGTGTAGTAGAAAAATTCTTACCCATACCACCACTGGCCGGTGTCCAGCTGACCTCTTGGGTAACATAATGTTAACTGGTCGGCTTGAGGACATGAACTTACCAGCTCTGCCACTCAAAGCCTCCCCTCATGTTTTAAGACCCAGGGTAGGGGTCCGCCTGCTTCGCCTTCAGCAGCCGAGGCTGAGTCGGCTCAGTCAGACTACCCAGAGTACTTCTCCATGTCTGCCCCTGGCCTGTCTGGACTGTTTTTAAAGTTTATCAAGCCTCTAAAGGCCATATAAAAAGGCTGTTTTAATACTCAGACAGGGCTGGAAGCACACAGGGAAAAGGGTGGGTGAGACAGTAAAAGGTCGAACCTGACAGTGCCGGAGAAACGCTTGTCCTTCTGGGGATCATAGTTTTTCAAGCTGATCTGCAGCTCCACCGACTCCACAAACCTACAGACAGACAAGATACAGCTGTTACACTGCAGTGTTCACATTATAATTTAGGACCATATGTAAAATATAATTTAACATTGGATTCACCATCATGTCAGTTGAGGTATGAAACATTAAACAGAAGCTACATATATATTTACCAATTGCACAGACTTATTGATATTTATCTCATATTTATGTCACACAGATGTAATAACCACAATATATAAAATCAAGTGACTTCCTGCCTAGAGCAGGATAGAAAATCGTATTTGAAACAAATGTCAACTTACTTCCTTGGCTTAGCCACGGAGCCCTGCAGGACCTCCTTCACCGCTTCATACAACGTGTCCCTGGAAACCTTACTGTTAACACGAAAACACAGAAACACTTAGGCCCAACTGAAATGTTAGAAATGTCTCATTACCATCCAGTTCATTGGCGGTGCTAAACAGTAGCGGCAAAAAGTCACAAAACAGGAACAAAGCGCAGAAAGATTTGAATTAGTATTATCTAATATAGTTCATTTAAGCATCTGATGTTTGATTGTAAACTTAAATGTGTTTTTTATCTTTGGATGACGGTGGATTGAACCTAAAACTTAACGTGGTTTCCTTTCATCGGCGGAAGAGCCGGTCACATACGTTACATTTAGCTCCATCTATTCCAGAAAAACTGGACAGAGTAACACAACTGCCGTACAACATAGTTACACTACAGTCTTTGACAGCAAACATAGCTGGTGTAAATGTTATTTACAAGCTTATTTTTTAAAAATATCGACTGAATTCGCTCTAACCTCATTTTCGCAGCTTCTCCCTCCCTTGTCGCTACGCTGAAAAGGAAGTGCTGAGGGAAATGACGCAAAATAAAGGCGCCCGTGGTGACGTTGCCAAAACGTAAATTACGTAGCTTTTTTGTTCTTTTTAAATAGAAATATAAAAATAATTACTTTTATATTATTTAACCGTGTAGCTTATTTCATTTTTCTAATTCTTCCTTAATTTACTCATATCTGCTTCCTGAATAATATTTTATATGTACTGACTTAAGTGAAAACAGTAAGATTGTCAAAGGAGAGTTGCAGTTCAATATCATGGTCCAAATGTCTAAATGCAAAGGTTCCTTCATGGGACACAGAAACCAAAACAGAAAACACAACCCACACATTTTTAGAAAAAAACATTTTAGAGAACGCATTTCAAAAACACAACAAAATAGAAAACACAAAACTTTAGAAACCACCACAACAGTTTAGAAAACATGTTTCACAAAATAGAAAAGGTAGGGACAACAATTCTTGCTCATGACTGAAGAGCACCCAAGCCACGTCCAATACTTGTAATTATTTTTTTAAAATAATAAACACTTTGCTGTCTGAATTGATTTCATAACAATCTATGTTGGAAAATATTTGTATGTTGGAAACAAAAAATGTCAAAGCGGAGTTGCAGGCCAAATGTTAAAGTTCCCAATAAAACAAAGTTCAAAAGATCCCTTAAGTATGGTTAATTAATTCTGGGTAAATTATGACTCCTTTCAAATGAAGAAACACTGGTGACAGACCTAACTAACCAACTAACTAAATAAATAAATAAAAATATTTGGGTTAACATACAATTCATTCTGTTGATACATATCCAGACTAACACTTGATGAATATGACAGCACAGTGAGTTTCATGTGCTGCAACAAATTTCAGGTAAACAAAAGTCAAGAATGCAAAGATTAGTTTTTGGAATAGTTTAAATAAAACTGTTAAAAAAAAAGATCCGAGTCAGGAGGGGATTTTCATAGTAAGAGGGGAAATCAGTCAGTGTCAAACAGGTGGGTTGAGGAGCTTCACTTTCAATTTAGATTATCATCAAGAAGTAGACAAGAACTTATTTAAAACAGGTTTATTAACACGCATGAGGTCAAAAGAAACCTCATGGGTAACACTTTACTCCCCCTATCTATATATAAATCACTAATAATCCATCATAATGTAGGATTAAGCAGATATAAGTATTTGTTAATGTATTGTCAACAACCATTACTCCTCCTATAAGGCATCCACTTTGTGAAAGCTGGTGATGTTTTCGCACTTCATGTGTGTGTGATTCTTTTCAAAGCAGCTTGAAGAGACTTTTTCAGGAAGGTCTCATTTAACATCAGGCAACCGGACAGGGAGTGTTTGTGTGCAGCAGTCACCTAGAGAAAAAAAGAGATGAATACATATTAATACATACACAGAAAGATTACAAATACTTTTTCATCCATAAATGTACAAACTCACATGGCTGCTATATTTGGTGAGGACTGTTAACATCATTTTTGCGAACTTCACAGACTTAATGAACTGAGGACCCTGGCTGATGAGCTGTTCCGTGAACTGTGCAAACACTTCTTCATTCAAGTCAGGCTGAAAAAACAATAAACCGGCAACTCGATTACAACGACTATTACAACCTTTTTATATACAGTCTATGACTGTGAATGGGTGGTCTTTTCCCATGAATAAACATTCAGCTGACCTTGGAGTCTAGCAGGCTGTGGATAATGGAGAGCGCCGCCTCAGTCCACGCAATTTTGAATGTCATTCTGGAAGAAAAATAAACTGCATCAACAAACAACCCATAACCATCTGAGTCCATGACATCTTGACATCCAAACATCTTATCTTACTGCAGCAGCAGTAGTCTGTAGTGGGAATCCAGGCAGCTCTCTATCAGCCTGTTCAGCAGCTCAGCCTGTGGATTCCCTGAAAACCAAACAAAGTTCAAAATAGAAGATCAATTGATGTTAGGGCCAAGGACTGTGTAAAAGGTCCTGGCTCAGCCCTCTGTAACATCAAAGCATCTGTGTTGTTTATGTGCACTTGGACCAGGACACTGAATCCACGCCAGCTCCAGGACTTCTGCTCTGTCACTCATTGACTCTAATCCCCCTGCAACAAACTGTGTTATAAATGATTAATTAACTCAGTCGTAGCTCAGCCTTTTCCTCACCTACGTTCTTCTCCATTAGAACTGGTCCGATGAGAGCATGGCACATTGGTCTGGGGTAGTGGCCACACAGTGATGTCACTGCAGTAACCAGGCACCTGGAGGCCGGTTCTGACAGGGACAGGACCTGCACACATGTAGAACCAGGACATCCCATCAGTATCACACACAGCAGCACATTTTGCATCCTTCGCATATACAGTGTTGTACCTTTTCCAGCAGGAGGCTCTTGATGAGTGTTGCTGCCGTGCTGTAGCTGAGGTCGGGAGAGAGAGCCAAAACACTGCTGCACAGTTTAGGCAGAGTCTGCTCCGGTAAAGCAGACAAACTCAGCATGTTACATAAAACCTCCACCTAAACAGGAGAGGCAGAGGAGTTGGATTTGTCTCATCACAGACCATCAGTGAGCAACTGTATAATATGAAGATGTGGTAAAGTGGAGCTATAAAGCACATTTGAGGCTGGTACTTCACTATTTTCCTCCTGGTTTCTCCAATTCATTTCTCAAACTGGAGTACAATGTAAATACTTACAACCTTTGTGAAACTTTGGTTGAGATGTTGACTATCATTTCTGAGCCTGTATTTGTTTACACTCGTGTTGTGTTGCACTACCTTGAAATATTTTGTCCCCATATACTGCACATGACTGGGGTGAATAAATGATCACAAACACATATAAATATAACGCAAGAAACACACAAAAGTCTAAATGTCGGGGTAAAACATTTGAAGTTCACTATAAAATACATTCTTGGGGACACACCTGAGCGGGGTCACAGTTGTTCAGAACTTTGAACACATCCATGGAGCTCTGGTCCCACTGCAAACACAATAGAAATAATTATTATGATAATACCAAATATCACTTAGAGTCTGTGCTGTTAAAGTGTGCTGGCTTGGTGAATTTTTTTTACCTCTGCCTGACTTTCCAGTAATTCTTTTATTTGAAGAACAGAAACCTGAAAAATTACAAACACAGTAGACCAATTATGTTATTTCAACTCTAACCTGTGTGATAAGACCAAATATAACTGCCGGATTAGTACACTTGATTTGAAAATTCAGTTCCTACATGGAGAGAAAACAAATTGTGAAAATGGATGATAAATTTCAGTGTGAAAAAGACAGACAGAGCCTGCGCTTCCTCACAATGTCTCTACCTTTATATGTTCAGGCAGGGAATCATGCGGACTGTCTGCAGCCGGCTGCAGGTCTTCAGCAGAAGTTTCTGCTGGAGCATCTCTTTCTAACCTTCCTGTTGTCTCCTCATTGACGCTCTGTTCTTCTGCATCTACACACTCGCTCCCGCAGATATCCATCTTTATCCGTTTGCTCTGCTGTGCCGTTTCTTCATCACCTTCAGAGTCCAGAGTGACAAAACTTCCTTTCCTTTTCCTTTGTGTCCCCTGCTCTGATAAACCAGAAGCACTCTGAGATTCAGATCCCGATGGCTGACCGCTGAGACACTTGGCCCACCCTCCGGCCACACCGAAACCAACTAAACGCTGTGACAGCTCCTTGAGTCTCTGGCTGCACGGTGGAGTGCACAGAGGCTCCTCACTGTGGACCCCCAGGCTTCTCTTCAGCTGTCTACCCAAAGCGGTGATCCAGGGGTTTGGATGAGGGTCCTGGCCGAGGCATTTGAGCAGATGGAGGACAGAGGTCTGAGGAAGTACCGAGTGGACCAGATAGATGAAGGACAGCAGATTTTGTTTGAATAATGCAGGAAACAGGCACACCATGGGTTTACTAGAATAAGTGAGGAAAAAAATGGGTGTGAGGCGCATAATACTATATTATGTATGTGACATAATATAGTATAGGATGTCAACAGTTTGTCTTTGGTCGAGCTCAAACAATTAGTTGATCAATTGATTGACAGAAAAAGAATCAGAAACTACTTTAATAATCGATTAATCATTTCAGTCATTTTTCAAGCAAAAGTAGTGAAAGCAAAAACCTGTAAAGACATTTTGTGGTTTTTGGACTTGGACGTTTGAAGACATGATGTTCAGCTCTGCAAAGTTGTAATGGCCTTTTTTTTAGTTTTTTAAACTAGACTTGATTCAGCACTTTTCTGATGCATAGTCGAGGATTGTTATTTCAGAGCGACAGCTGTAATGGTATTAAAAAGAATCAGTGGGGTGTAGTTGGAAAATGTAGGAGGATAATCCCAGTATTAAAAATCAAAAACCTGCTGTCTCACTCAATCTGACTCACTTTTTATTACAAGGAATAATAACTAGTTTTAGTTGACTTTTTAATGCTTTAATAGCCTTGTCTGCATTAGTAATACTGCGTTCATACTAGTAAAAGAGGCCTAAATAAGACTGATATGTGATAAAAAAGACCTTCCTGACTACCTAACCAATGAGAGTTTAACCTTTTTTTTTTTTTTTGATAAATCAATTGATTTTTTTGGCTTGTAAAACTTCAGAAACTTTATGAGAAAAGCCCATCAAAATGACTCCAGAGCCTAAAGTGACAACCTCACACTCCAAAGCAGCAAATCCTCACATATGAGCTGAGTTTGGCATTTTTACATGAGAAATTAAAGGATTACCAAAATATCAATATCAACTTATTTTTCTTCAGCTCTAATTGTGTATACAGTGGGATAATATATTCTATTGCAAAGCATCATATGCTACAAGCTCTTCATATGTTTTATATTTGACTTTTAAAATAACTAGTAAGTTGTCAAATGTGTGCAGTGCAGTAGAAGTTTAAAGTGGCCTGAAAAGCTAATCAACTAAATGTGCAAGTACCTCACCAATGTGCGGTTCCTACACACAGCTTATCTACCGTTTCTATAGCAAGTAAAATCTCACACCGTTTATGTTGCTATGCTGAATGCGACCGTTGTCCTCTCTTCAGTCACCCACTTACCCCACGGACACCCACTGCTGTGCACTTTTACTCACACACTTAGTGGCTGGGCTTCGGTCTCTGGACATGTTACTTCGTCTTGGCACAGTGTTTCTATGAGGTGACCCAGTGACATGTCGGGGTCAGCCCGCTGCTGCCTCTGGAAGACGTCCAGCGCTCTGCGGGCGCCGGAGGCTCCAGACATCAGCGACCGGACCAGCAGCTTCGACTGGCCGTCAAACCGGCTCAGAAACATCCCGGCGGTCAGACTCCCAGGTAAAGTCTTCCTGCTGCTGCTGCCGCCAGTTTGTTGATATTTCTTCCTCTTACGTTTTATTGCGGTTGGCATTTGGCAAACAGCTTTTAGGCTCATTACCGCCACCAACCGGAACGGAGTGCGGATCTGAATGAGTCTAATAAGCTATATTATATTCTTTTCCCAAAATGTGTATAGCTCTACACCCCACATGCCCTGAATTCAAGCGTAACAATATTTTTAGTTCAAGCTTGGTGTGGTCTTTTTCCACTTTGTGTTTGAGAACTTGTCTTTCTTGCTGATACTGAGGACAATAAATAAATCACGTTCTACAATTTCCTGTAAATTGCAATACTCACATGTACCAGTTGCATGTTACCAATCATTTGCTAAACATGCACGTGTACTGTTAATAGGATGTTCAAATCTCATTCTTGAGATGTCTTTTTTCAGATCAGTTCTGCTAGTTTCGCCAACTTTCCTTTGGATATTGTTGTAATGTCTAACTTTAGTTTCCCTGTTCCATTCTTCCAGCCATCTCTTCATCATATCGTCTGATTTTTTAGTTGCATCGTTTTTTGATAAGATTTCTTCTTCATGAGTTTAATTCATCCACATCTCGTGATCTAGTCAGAAGCAACAGATTCCGGCCTCTCAAATTACAGATTTAAATTTTACAAATTTTTAAATTGTCAAAAGTGTCAATAAAAAGCACAGCACACTTTTTCAGTGAGACAATGTGCAAAGCAATGTTTTATTTTCTGTGTACAAGTACAACTTGTTTAAAAGAAATAAAATCTTAACATTTTCTGTTCTTGCCAAAACCAGGAAAACGGATGTCATTCTTGGAGGCAGGCATTATCGGTAATGGGCACAAGGACGAAGGGGTACAGTACACTTTTTATCTTTAGACAATTAAAACTACCATCCACACCACACTTTAAAATATCAAACTGGTGCAAACTGCTAGGGGAGGAGTCAGAAATTATCACTCATCAAATCAGTAGAGAGGTAAAGGAGAAATTAACAATCCGCAACAAGTTTGAAGCACTATGGCCACGGGAGGGTAAAGGAAAACCTTTAACTAGAAGACCACAAATTACACACAAAATCGTTAGAGGTAGGACAAATACTGGATTTCTATCTGGGGTGCTTTTATCTAAATCCAGGGCAACAAACCGAGTGCCGTGGAGAGCTAGTGTACACATTTTATTTCCAACCAGACTGTAGAAAGCAATTTCTAGGTAAGTTCTTCTAAATCACCTGCTGTCGTCTGACTAATTAAAAACATCAACACACTTGGCACTCCGTGGTGCATGGTTGACAACCTTGATCCTGATCATGGCTACTCAAAAGCTTCGAGGAGGACAGAGGGGTCAATGGGGCAACTGAGTATGTATAGTTGACACCCCATTCAGTGGCTTCAGGCACTGACAAAAAGAATGAAAAAGCTCAGAAACCATACTCCTCAGTTAGGTAAAAACGAAAGTCATAGTCATCGTCGTCGTCTTCATCGCCAAGAAAGGTCATGGCTATGAAAAAATTAAGCAGATCTACGCCATCGTAGTCGTCTTCATCTTCTGTAGGATACTGGGAGCAGGAAACAAAATGTATGAGAGAAGTAAACACACCAACAGGGTCTCGTGCACAGCAGGAGTCATGAGAACTTAAAGCACACTTCAGGGTTAAAGTATATTTACCGGGAATGATCTGCTACGTGTGGGTTTATCATGGCGATAAAGGCACTCCGTTTTGAAGGGACAACATCTGTATCGTGCATAGTAACTGCAGCTTTTCTTACTGTAACCATAAGAGATGAGACAGAACAGGAAGGACACATTGTCAACAAATCACAAGAACATTGGCTTTGGATTCAAAGCAGTTATGCATGCATCTTTACTTAACACTAAAAAAGGAAAAAGTGCATGGAGAGAAGAGAGAGAGAAAAAAAAAAAAAAAAAAAAAAAAAAAAAAAAAAAGCAACCACATCTGTACTCTTTATAATGACATAAAATCCAGTCAATCATGTTACATCTTATAGACCACCACAATTTGAAGGTAAAAATAAGTATTATTTACAGTAAAGTTACACTGCACTACTTTAACCTACAACACTTCTATAGTTACAGTAGCAGTGGGTGAGCTACAGCTCAGGTACATTCAACCATTAGTGGTGTAGACACTTAAACCCTAAAAAAGGTAGGATTGATCATATGTAGCAGGCTTATCAGAATTTGTCTTCATTGGCCAAGTTATCATCACAGTAAAATACTGTCACCCCATTTGTTTAATACAAGTTTTACATTTTTCCAAATTGCGGATCAAGCTCTCCATTTGCAACTAGACCTGCTCTCTATACAGTAAATGTTAAAGCCAGATATTTATGGTCACATCATCTTTTAGATCATTTTTATTTTTGACTTTTATATTGTAGCAGTGATTAGTCTGGATGTGGCCCATTGTTATGCTTTTCAATCTAAGTGTCAGTCAACTTGGATGTAACGCCACAGTATGTCAAACAAAAGAATCACTTCAACATCTGGAATTTAAAATAATGGGGAAAAAACTGCTCAGGCAGAATGAAAAATCCTTTCACCTGCACATTAAGTTTAAGAACAGTCACGTTAGACCTGAAACCCTGGAGTGGGCATTGCCAGCTCTTCATAAATCCATCACTGAGTTTGAGCATAAAATCTGGAAAATTCTTGGCGACTTCAAACGAGTGATTTACTAAAATCAGATTGCACCATTAAAACTTGAGAATCATATTAGCTAGTAAAGACTATGTTGACAGGACATCTTGAAACATTGCCCAATTAAGAACAATGAACTTTGTAAACAGGAAGTCACTGCAGTCTCACAGGCTAGCATAACTTCCAAAAATGACAGTTTGAGGCTGAACAGATATACTTTATAAAGTGTAGGCATCACTTCCTGCCCCATTTAGGTCTGCATACATGGAGAAATATGCTTGTGTCAGAGTCTGCAATGGTAATACAGTTCAAAATGACTGGGAAAATATCCAATTATGCTCCACTTACATTAGAACTAGGCTGAGGTTGAACTTATGAACTGCTGATGCAACCGGCTCCTGCTGTAGTGATTAGTGCTGCTATCAAAACGGAATCTCTTGCCATACCTGCATTTCTCTTTGAAGGCAGCAATTACACTTTCCTTTGCTTGTCCTTCAACCCAGTATTTGTTCGGCACATAAAAGGGAGACCTCACTCTGCACTGTGGGCAGGTCCTGAGGAATAATCATTAAACAGTGACGTCATGCCAGATCTTTTATGTTATGTCGTCAGCTGCAGTTAAATAGTCAGATCTAGTGAAACCTACTTTACCACGTCCAGCCCGAGGTCTTTTGTTTTCCTCCAGGTCATGATGCATTGTAAACAGAAGGAGTGATTGCAGTTTGGCAAGATACCAAAAACATGGTTTCTTGGATCCGTCTTTTCATACACCTTGTCCATGCAGATCCCACAGCTCACATTTTTACTCTGGAGGAGGGCCTCCATTTCCTTTACATTCCCCTGGGCACTAGAGGCCGCAGCCGCAGCCCCATCCTCTGTTGTCTCAGCTGAAGATGTCTGCTGAACACAAAAACCTTGCAATCAGTAAAAGCCTCCAGGGTTTCATCTAGTTGAATTCACTACCGAGCCCTGTTGAATGGTCACACTTAACACAGCGAATTAGAGTCTAACCTGTTCATTTCTTTGACCACATGCACCTGCTTGAGCAATGACTGAGCTTTGGACCGATTCCCAAGAAGCAGTCAGAAGAGAGTCAGTATCTGCAGGGGAAAAAAAAAAAAAAAAAAAATGCAGTTAAAAAGTTAAGTATGGAGAAATTCTGACCAAAACCAGTTTCACCCATGAAAATTTTCAAGTACCATCTGATCGTTCTTCAGTAACATCTGAAACCAGGCGCCCAGTGTTGTGTTGAGCATCTGATAGATCAACCACCGTCTCTGATCTGCTGCATTCCTGCCTGGACATCACCTCAGCCTGCAGAAGAGCAGGCTCTGACCCTCTTCTGTCAGGTGGAGCGCGAGCCACCCTGGAGGAGGAGACGTTCGGCACCGAACCTCTTCTACCTGTAAAAGCTGCAGCAGCTTCAGGTTGAAGGACATGGAGATACCTAGTAGTGGAAAATAATGCATGAGCCGAATAAATGTGTTTGCATATCATCCTAATACACGCACACACACACACACACACACACACACACACACACACACACGCTTACCTGCAGCGTTCACCATACCAGCATCCACCTTTCTGAAAGAACCAACATACTTGGGATGGCGGTATAACTGGCCATTCGTGTCGATAATTACACCTTGGACCAAATCTGCAAGAGCCATTTATGAAATGCCTGTAATGAAAAAGGGAACAGTACATTTCAACCAATATGATGTTAGAAGTAGAACTGGTTCATGTCCCTTAGGGCAACTCTGAATCAAGTAACAAGTCTTCAAAATGCAAGTCTTTCAGATCTCTGAATGGTAACTAGCCCTTTTCAAAAAAAGTACTAAGGAAACATAATTTTAATTACAATTACAATCTGTCAATTATTTTTTAGATTTAAAATTAAATCATCAGTTAATGAAACAAAAAAAAAAAATCCCCATCTTCTAGCTTGCAAAAAAACACAGCATTTGAAGTCCTCCTTCATATACATAAGATAGGGTACATTTTATGCAAGTCCAGCCTAACACTAGTTCATGTACATCACCACCACCATCATCATCATCATCATCATCATCATGCCTGGATTTCAACAAGGTTGAAACTTTGAAGTCAAATCAAGTCAAGGCAAACCTTCAGAGGCATCTACAGAACAATTACAGTTGTGCTCATAAGTTTATATACCCTGGCAGAAATTGTGAAATATTGGCCACTTTTTGGGAAACATAACTGATCATGCAGAAAACTTTTTTTTATTTTCTATTTTTTTATTTAGGGATAGTGGTCAGATGAAGCCATTTATTACCACATAAATTGTGTTTGCCCTTTCTAAATAATAATGATAAGTGAAACCACCCAAATGACCCTGATCAAAAGTTTACATACCCTTGAATGTTTGGCTTGATAATATACAAGTTGACAAACACAGGTTTAAATGGCTATCAAGGGTAAGTTTCCACACCTGAGACCTGTTTGCTTGTAATTAGTGTCCGTGTAGAAACAGTCAATGAGTTTCTTAGCTTTTGAGAGACCCCTGCACATTTCATCCAGGGCTGCACTGACTTTGCTGGATACTGAGCCATGGGGAAAGCAAAAGAACTGTCAGAGAGAACCTGCGAGAAAAGGTAGTTGAGCTTTATAAAAATCTGAAAAAGGCATATAGAAAGATATCCAAAGACTTGAGCATGTCAATCAGTAGTGGGTTCTTTTGATACCAAGCCACGGTCAGCTAAACCAACAAAGATTTCAGCCACAACTGTCATGGTGTTCAGGATGCAAAGGAAAAACCCACAACAACCTCAGCTGACATACATGCTTCTCTGCAAAAAAGTGGCGTGGCTGTTTCAAGATGCACAATAGGGAAGTACTTGAAGAAAATGAGCCGCACGGTCGAATTGCCAGAAAAAAACCGTTACTAATAAAAAAGCCACAAAACAACCTGCTTACAATATGCCAAACAGCACCTAGACAAGCCGCAAAACTTCTGGAACAAAGTCATTTGGGGTGATGAGAACAAAACTTAACTTTACGGTCACAACCACGGACGCTATGTTTGGGGAGGAGTCAACAAGGCCTATGACGAAAAGTACACCATCCCTACTGTGAAGCATGGAGGTGGATCTCTGATGTTTTTGTTTTGTTGTTGTTGTTTTTTTTGGGGGGGGGGGGGGTACACACATCAGGGTATGTAAACTTACGAGCATAACTGTAATTAGAGCAAAGAACAATTAAATTTAAAAAATGCTCCTGTAAACGACAGGGGAGGTTAAACGAACTGTTAACCCGGCCGTTTGAAAAATAACAATGGAAATGGACATTATATATACACGAGTGGATGGCAACAATATCTGGCAGTAACTATTTTCTAATGCACTGGTTGTTTTATCGTGAAGAAAAAGCGCTAAATAAAAAAAAAAAAAATACCATACAGATATGAGCTCCTCAACAGTTCAACTGCGCGTGTTTAAGTGCAGTCGGAAATCAAGGCTTCCAACTGCTGCCAAAACGAGTTAGCTATGTCTATGTTCCACTTTGAACGCGATAACTAACTCAACACAGGTCAGAGGGCGCGTCACCACCAAAATCTGACTTTTCGCCAACATTTCACCACTCCTTGCTGGATACACACCCACCCGTTCATTCACACGGCTCTCCACGCTTCTCTTAAAGGTTTAACAGCCACTTAAAAATCGACTTTTCCTGGTGTTATTTCGCCTGCCTGAATGCCTGAACAACCGCATTCGAATGCAGCACAGCTACAATACAAAGTAGTGCAAGCTGAACAAACACAACTGTTAGCGACGTTATCTTATCTGTTCTTCTACTTTTTGTCCACTTTGGCGGCTTTAAATACGACAAACTGCCGCTTACCACTTACCTACAGACACCTCCACTACGGCCCGAGTCCATCCTCCATGTGTTTTGAGCATTCCGCCAAGCACCCGCCATCCCACCGTCTAAATAGTTAACAGCCGGTTGCTTTTACCAATTAACTTAGCAACGAACCAATAGAAACGTGACGTTGACGTTTGTACGTAACGGTTGCTAAATTCCCTTATATCCATCAATGAGTCTGAACTCTCCCCCAAGTTTAATAAGTGAGCACACCAAAGGGTACTTTAACATGTGGGGGGAAAGTTGGTAACCTAAACATATTGCCTGCCTCATTAATAAAATAGGAGAAAATCACGGTTTCTAATAAAGTTTATAAGTGAGATGTAACTAAACTAGACCTGCAGATAGGTTACATGTGACTATAAGAACGAAATGTCAAGTTTTCATGTGTTTTTGTGAACAAATGTGTCAATCCATCACTTACAAAGGCATAGAGGTAGCTTACATCAACTTTTTTGGTGTACTTTCTCGTTTTATCCCTCCACATCAGCCAATAAAATCAAATTTTGCAATACGTATCAAAAGCAGGATTAAGGCCAAAAAAAAATAGTCATAAAAAATTGTCAGAGATTAGATGAGACAGTGGAATAATGTCACAGATCATACATTAGAGGTAGATAGGGATCAAGACAGAATAAGAGCACAAGAGGAGACGTCTGAGGGTGGAGTCAGTGAGCACCACTGCTGACATACTGAAGTCCATTCGGAATAAGTACAGTGAAAAAAGAAGTCCTACAGAATATGGAAAAAAAAACCAAAACAAAACAAAATAAACTTGTGAACCGTGGCTACAGTGTTGTAAGGCTGTTACACTTTGTGCCTCTCCTAACAAGACAAATCAGACTGTAGACAGACAGCGTAGTAATCTAGGGCTGTGGTTATATCTAGGGTGAATACAGAAACAATTTATGATACCAGATGCTGGATGTTGATTGCTTTCTAATCATCAATTTTGCCAATATGATATCATGGTACAGTATGCTGGTTTAAGGTAGATCCTGCTAAGGCGTTCAATCCAAGTTCCTCATTAAGGAAAAATTTGTTGGTATGCTCAATGATATATTTGGTACAATCTAAACTAAATAGGCAGGCATGTAATATGAAAGAAAACATATACGTAATACATAAAACAAGATAGTAATTCATGTTTTGCCCTTACAAGTATGATCAACAATTACAAATAATTAGTAACATAATTACAAAGAAAAAACTAAGAAAAACCTTAAAATGGCAAGTTCATAATAATTTGCAGATTAAAAAAAAAAGAAAAAAGAAAGAAAAACATGCTGTCCCTTGTACTTCAATGGGTCATGCGTTAATAGTGTCAGCTTCAGAAACTTAATCTATGCAGCATAGTCCATTAGTTACCACTTGGGTAGATGGCTTTAAGACAGAACCTAAATAACTTGGATCTCCACATTTATTGCAAAATGGAAATGGTATTGCACAGACAGCTGCATTGAGAGAGCTCTACACTGCTGGAGCCAGCCCAGTTTGTGTTCTATAAACCAAATGGCAAAGAAAGCGGTCATTGATGATGATTATGATGATGATGATGATGATGATGATGATTATAAAGATGTAAACAAAACCCAATTTGTGCATCTTCAGCTTCACCCAAAGTCCGAGAACAATCACTCTACCAAAGACATTGGCATCATAAGAAACTCTTGCAAAGTACAAACTGACAGCTCAACTCAACTATGCCATTGGTGTGAGAACATGAAATGCTTTCCCTTTACAGCAAGACACAGGCGAGGTGAGTGAGGAGAAGCTCTCTCTAGATGCTGCTCTGGGGTCAGCTTTGCTATTAGGATGAAATAGGAGCAGCCTTGGTGAGAAAACATATCATTCTCTCTGTTAAGTGACCGTTGTGGGAAACTAGGACTTGCAGCAAATGATTCCAGATGCTCATCTCTCTCTCTCACTCACACACACACACACACGCGCACACACACACACGGGCACACGCACGCACACACGCGCACACACACACACACACACACACACACACAAACACACACACACACACACACACAATTACTGTGCTGAAGGTAATGCTGACATTGTGAAGACTTTGCTGATTGTGTTAGCCCTACCACTTGACTCTGCCTCATCTGCACATGTTACAATCCATGCCCAAACGTGGAACAGTGCTTGTACTGAATGCAGTGTATTATAATAAACGTAAATTAAGTCTGTAACAGTATTGCTAAGAGCAGTCTGTGCTGAAGAACACTAATACATGTCTTTGTAGATCTCCTGTAGTAGAGGGTGGAGCGAGGTCTCAGACTCAGTCTTTTTAATCTTTTGGACAAGCTGAGCGTTCTCAGTAACCAGCTGACGGAGGTCGGCCATCTTCTGCAGCAGCTTTGGGAAGAGGTAGACAGAGTCAGAGTGGTTTGCTTGGAGGTGGAGGTCCAGGGCCTGGAGGATGTTGTCCTGACTCTGCTCCACCTGCTTCACGTTCATTAGCCCGGGACGATCTGGGAGAGCAAGATGGGAGCAAAGGACAGCTCATGATGAGTCACAATTTAAATAAGCAAACAGACAAGTTGAATTTAAGATTTTTAAAGACATTTTTAATACCACATAGGGAGAAATTTAATACCCGCTTCATGATCATACCGACCAACGTATTAAAGAATGGTGGAAAACCAGAAGGGACGATATGGTGATAAGTGAGGACAATAAGTGACAAACCACTTTTTTCACTACTTACTAGCAGTATAGAAGAATAGTTGTTAATGATATAATTAATTGAATTAATGCAACCTGGAAGCGTCATAAGCAGCACAAAATGCAGTGTTAAACCAAAAAAAAAAAAAAAAGATGAATTCATTCGAGTTCATGTTTTTGCCCAATATAAGACAAAGAGCTTCCTCGCAGTAGCACTACTACTACTTTTGTTACAGCCAGCAGCCGTGACGGTTGTTGCCACAGGCCTGATGGTTCTGATTAGAATCCCACAAAAAATGATTGAATATCTTCCTATGTCATAAACATCCCACTTAATTTATACGAGTGCAACGTGTTCTGACAGGCTGTAATCAGATACAAAAACATTTTTAAAACTAACATTACCGCCTATGACAGGCAAGAGGTTATTGTAAATAAAATATAAGACTTTTCAATATCGATTAAGGCCTTTTTTTTTGAGGGAACTGAATTCTGAAAAACTTTTCAAGACCTGGAGATATCCTGAACATAACACGCATCATCATACTAAACAAGAAAACCCTGCTCTCACCTCCACAGAGAATAATGGCAGCAACAAACAGGGCCAGGTCGCTGTCATCCAGCTCCAGAGCATTAAACTTGACAGCAAACTCAAACTTGGGCTCCATGATCTCACTGAAGGGCTTTCTTAAACTGCGCAGGAACTCCCTAGTAACAAAGCCTTTCCCATTGGCCACCAAGAGTCCATCTTTGTTCATGAGAGATGGCAGCATGGCAAAAATAGCCTCATGCACACCATATTTCAGCAAAGTAACCTGCAGAAAGCACAAGGACAATTGTACATTAGCATCTTCCTAAACAGCCACATACAAATCAAGTTACTGTACGGCACACTGAGGAGACGGTGACTCACCTGGTCATTAAGGAAGAGGTCCACAAACCCTGGAATGCACTTGGCAAACTCGGTGAGCTCTCGCACGGTCTCCACCGTAGTGCACTGGCAGCGGTAGAACACATGGACCCCGATCTCCTTGGTCAGGGGTGCACCTGGAAGTAACTGGCTCCACACCAAACCACTTTCTGCTTTCCAGAGTGTGTCCACATCGTAGATCACAAATGGCTAAAAGGGGGACAAAACAATACAGTTCTCTTGAATAAATATCTGTAACTGCGAAGACTTAGAGCTAGAGTTAGCCTGGTGTTGCATTCTGAAGGGTAAGGTACACAGGATTATCACAGTGTAAGAATGGAGTATATATTAACAGGGACTTTTAAGTTAGACTGACTAAAACAATCATGTATGATGTATTACTTTAGAGTGAGAGAGTGAGAATGTACCGAGGTGCTGCTGGTTTTGCCTGACAGGATGCTGCGGGCCCTCTTCTTGGTCATACTGAGGTTCTTCAGGTAGGCTGTGTTCACTTGTTTGGCCAAGGTCTTCAGGTCAGAGCCACCTGGTTTGCCAAGGTTCAGTTCCTCTGCAAGGAGGCCTGCCACCAGCTTCTTCCTCTCCGCCTCAGGCATACGTCCATATCGGATCGCTAGGCAAACATACAGACACATGCTGGTTTTATTTTGAGTGGATGTTCCAGGAGTAGCTTGCTTTTGTGAATCTTGATGTTCATTAAATTCTTGAAACTCAAGAACTAACTGTCAACTAACAGTGTGCAACAACATGTGCTATGCCTGAAAATCTGTGTTACCTTTCACCCTCCAGCACCAAATTATGCAAAGGAGATTAGAAAGGATTTGAAATAAATGAGCAGATTTGTTACTCACTTCAGGTTTGATAAAACTCTTCTAAGCCCAACCCGTGTCAGTTCATCACTTTTTCATTCAAGTCTTAAGATTTGTAAAAAAAACAAAAAAAAAAAAAAGAAAAAGAAAAAAAAGAAAAAAGAAAAAGCTTTCATCTTGTTCTTTCTTTCTTTCTTTCTTTATTCTCTCTCTCTCTCACCATCATGGGACATTCCCAAAGACAGGCACTTCTGGAAGCGACAGTATTGGCACTTGTTACGATTCTTCTTCTGAATCTTGCAGGAACGCTCGCAGCGCTCATATTCCAGTTTCATGCGCACGGTTCGCCGGAAGAAGCCCTGAGTAAGAAACAGCACAACCAGTTCAGCAACTCATATTGCAATGTACAAAACTACTGGTATCACACTTTATAATCTTACTAAGCCGTTCTGATGTGATACACAAACTGTGTTACCTTGCAACCTTCACAGGCATGCACGCCATAGTGGAAGCCCGAGGCCTTGTCCCCGCAGACCTTACACTCCACACTGATCCCAGACCCTGCGCTGTCTTCGCGGCCAAGACGCAGCTGCTCTGACAACGAAGGCGACGAGGTATGGGACAGGTCTGCATAAAAATATTTCATGAAGATGAAGGCTCAAGAATGATCTGCCGTCTAAATGTCATGTTCCAGTTCAAGTCATAAAAACGTCTTACCTGTGTAGCTGGACGCTGCACTGCTGTTTTGCTTACTGTGATTGTTCTCTTCCTGATCCAGACCCTCTTTCTCTCTCTTCTTCTGGTCCCCTTTCAGGCCTTTAGAGACAGGCACCACCTCCTTCTCGTCCCTGTCCTCCTCATCTTCACTTTCCCTAGCCTTCAACTCTTGCAGGTCTGTCAGCTCTGACACACTCGTCCCCCCACAGCTGTCCGAACCCCCGGACTCTCCCTCCGGTGACGTCCACCTGACATCAGCGGTGTCCTGGGGGGATTTGGGCTCACAGTAGCCGTTCACCCCGTCGTGCTTCTCTGTAGCAGTTTGCTGAAACCCTTCCATGGTTCCTGTTGAAGCTGACTCAGCGGTGCCCCTCCTGTCACGTTGCCATCATAGCTCCACTATTGAAGAACAGATTTTTAAAAAATTTTTTTAAACAAGCAATATTTAATTAAGAATGTGTACTTAACATGGGCATTATATTAAGAACAATGAACACCTCTTAATCACACATTGTCTACCTTGTTATTAAAACCAGCATGTGAGTGGTTAACAACCCGATTCCAGTGACCTGTCTCCAGCCAAACTGAGCATGAAGCTTGTCATAACACGTTGCAGAGCCAAAATGCTTCCCTGTTTTTTATGTAAGCACGATGGTAAAAAATCATATCTTGTGTGGCTATTTAGTGTCAGGTTTAGTCTATCACTTGTAATTTAAATGAGTGCATTTACTAATCTTTGACATTATGTATATTTATGTGTCCTTTCCCAAGTCTGTCCAGTACTACTGGTTGTGTTTGAGGAACCAGCGAATGTCCTTGATGGTAATAGGCTTATGACATGATATACACTTGCAGTAGAGCCATGCTTGGATTACCCATAAGGCAAGCTGTACAGACAAGCAAGGGCCCCCCACCATTAAGAGCCCTGAACAAAGGCAATCCTGAAACATCTTTTTAATCTGGGTGGGGGATATGACTAACATCCTCTATTATGGTATAATGTGATTTCATATTCTGATCTCAATATATATCACAATGTAGTACATTTACTGCAATATCAACAGAGAGGTCATTGGCCCAATACAGCAAATGTATAATCAAGATACTTCATTACACTGTATGTAAAAATCATATAAAAATCCAATATAGGCAAAAAAGCAGGTCTGTTCATTGATTTGAAAAAAGATTACAAGATAAACTTCACCTGGAAACGCTGATTTCATATCAGGCATTCAGGCATCACATTCAAAAAAAGTTTCTGGAGAATGTAATTATTTTAAATAGTCGTTTTTTTCTCTGTCATGTCTCTCAGGTTTTGTTGTGTTCACGTGATTGTTGTGAATTAACGATTGTGTGACAATTCACTACTTGACAGGTCTCTCTCATCTCATCTTAAGAGACTTCATGGGTAAATAAATCAAACAATTTATAATATATATATATGTATCACCCACCCAATCTCTAATCAGAATATGTGTCTGTGAGGCTAAAACCAAACTTTAAAAAAACCGCAACACAGGCCTGGACAGAAAACAAAGCCACATTCCTACTACAACACAAGATTCCAATCCACACCACTGTATTGGTCTGCCATTAGTGTATCTTTAACATTTCAGTCTGTTCTCCACTATCTTAAAAAGTAAACTTTGCCTCTTTTGCAGCTTGCAGACATCTGTATTATTGTTTGCCTCAGCTCCATGGTAGGGTGCACAGTGTACTTGGTGGGTGCTTTAAGGGGACAGTGTGCATGCACTATGTACACACTGGGCAGTGTTGATCGCCAGTGGAGGCGGTGGGGGAGAGGGCTTTGGGGGTGGGGGTTGCATTTTTGCCCCGGGGCCCCCTAGTGGATTAATCCGCCCGTGAATGTAGCTGTGCCCTGACAAACACCCACAGAGACTACTTATTATTAGACATTTATTACTGTTTTCAGAATGAACACTGTCGTTTCAAGATGGCCCAAAGTGGTAAGAAGTCTAAACTGAGTCCTCTCAACATTTCAGGAAAAAGAGAAACAAACAAAAAAAACACCTGGGGTTAGGACTGTTAAGACTTGTCATCCAGGAGACAACCTGTCACACTGGTTCTCTGAAATCTCTCCTAACATTACTGTGAATTTTACCAGTCACTACAACTGGACACGAGCATTTGAGAAATTAAGTTAAATGGCTTCCGTCAAACTTTTTTACTGCCAGAGGAAACAATATAAGACGTATAACTGAGTGGCGTTAGCCTGTCAGTCGGCCGTCGAAGAGTGCGGTACGGCTAGCTAACTCAGCTAGTTAGCTACTAACCTTGGATGTTGACTACCACTAGCTGTTAGCGTGGCTGACCCACATTCCCGTGTGTGCCTTCAATAAACGTTAGCTGGCTCGCCAAGTTAGCTTACCTCTCCCGATAGTGCTGCTGGTTCAGAAGATTTTTACGTTACAGAAAACTGCCAACGGGCTACAACGAGTAAGCAGCGAAAACAGTCCCGAGTCCCGTCCAGGATCGATCGGATCGGCTGTTGACAAGTTGAGTGAAGTCACCACCACCACCAGCAGCAGCAGGAGTGAGCTAGCGGCAGGAGCTAACACCAGACTGCTAACATAAACTTAGACCGATTCAGGCCTTCATGTAGCGGCCGAGCTGACACATCGCTGAGCGCCAGAGAGCAGAAAGACAGTGTGGTCACTTTTTGTCGGCCACCATATCACATGCAGATAAGCATAGTTAACTGATAATCCCTCCCCGACTCTCTCCTTGCTGCTAGCTTTACTTTGCTGTGCTTTGCTTTGCTTTGCTTCACTGCCCCCTCTCCTCCTCCTCGTCACATGCCAGGACACAGCGGCCCCCCCCCCGACCACAACACACAAAATTCACAGGAACCGGCACACAATTCTCTGACTGAGGAGTCAAGGTCTCTTTTATTTTGCCCTGTTGTTTTTCTGGATTTTTCACATAGTGCAATGACAAGTATTATTGGTATTTTGCTATACATATATATATATATATATATATATTTATATATATATATATAAATACCAGTATATCGACCTACTGTAAATAACTTTTTACTTACATTAACTGCTCAATATTTTTCTTGTACCACTTTTATTCTTGTTTACTTAAAGTAATAGTCATGTATATACTGTATGTACAGATACATTGTATGTTGTACATTTGTTGTTGCTAAATGCATCTATTTTTCTCCTGCTTGCTTGTACACACTATCCTTTTACTTATCTTTTACCTAACTCTATGCATGCATCTATTTTTCAACCACTTGCTTGTGCATCAGTCATTTACTTATCTCTGTACAGATTTGTTGTCCTTGTGTTTGCTGTATGTCCATGAGTATCTTCCTGAACATTGTTTTTGGTACTGTGTGTGAGTACACCAAGAAACCAGAGTCACATTCTTTGTACGTGCAAATATACATATTGGGCCAGTAAAGCTGATTCTGATTCTGACGTTCAAGGCCTAAGACTGACACAATAAATATACAGTACAGTGGAGTAGCACAAAAATCTGGCCTTGTATGCAGCCTCAGTGTCTCCCCTTCCCCTTTTATTACATGCATTGTCACAAGTAAACACCTTCATCTCTACTGGTTATTAATTTATAATATTAATCAATAACACGTGTTTAAGTCTGCACAAGTTGAAATCTCAGCATATATCAGCCCCCTCTTCTCATCTTAATGTAATTACTATGTGAAGAGATTTTACAATATTACAGAACATTACACTATATCACTGGTACTATACAAGAACACATAAAAAGACATATAATTGAATTAACACCTCCATGACAGTGTCAACAAAAACTGAACATTATAGTCAACAAACATACAAGTAGACTTTATGGCAGAACTAACTCTAATCAACTAATTGAATTAAGCTGTACAAGTGTACCTAATAAAATGGCCACTGACTGTATATCTCCCACTGTGTTTAGGTCTTCATTATACCCAAATGTAGACATCCATCTTACTCTGGTCTTAAACTGCAAAAGAATTACTGCATTACCGACATTTACTGCCACCGTAAAGGAAGTGATCCCAGAGTGTACGATATCAATTTATGCATATAATGAATATTAGATTATACATTTAAATAAATAAATAAAAAACCTGAGATTAAGATTCAATCACGATGACCAACTATTTTAAACACATTAGTCACTTGACAAGAACTTTACATTTATAACATCTCAGACCCGCCATACAAACATACATTACTATTTGGAGATTTTTCCTGTTTTTTCTAATCTGCTACATGGACATTTTACTCTTGAGTGCTCTGATACGACACAGCTTTTTGTGCTATCAACCATATTTGAAATAGAAATAGAAAGATAGCCTACATCAATTAGAGAAAAAAATATTTGTAAATATTTGTAATTTTGGCTGTATGAATACAATAGAATTGACTGAACTAGTCGGATAGAGGTGGGGTGCATGGTTTTCGCAACATGTTGGAGAAGCAGTTTTTATTAATCTAATTTCATTGTAGCTAAATTTCAAATACTGAGACTCAGGGTCACTGTGCAGCATAACAATATGTTTAATTGTAAGTTAGCTTGGCAGTCAATATTAAACCACTGTATCAATGGATGTAATAAGAGCCTCTGAGGGAAACTGTGATTTCTTACAACTCTGGTGGTTCCAGTTTTTTTTTATTGGGTATGATAACATTATAGGAACCCAAACTAGCTGCTGAGATCTGAGAATGCTGTAACATCCCTGTAACTAGACTGTGGGCAACAAGCAGCTGCTTTTATGACTGGATCTTGAGGACCTCTATTGAAGAGAAATCCAGGTTTAAGACTTTTATTATTTCCTGCTGCTAAATACATTTCTGTGTAAATAAAAATAATCCATTCACTGGACGGGGGGGGGGGGGGGGGGGGGGGGGGGGGGGGTCACTATAGTTCCAGCAGCAGGTTGATCTGGCCATGATATTTACATTAAATCAATTTATTTACAAAGAAAACATCTGCATTCATAATTATATGAATTTATAAGTGCTGCTACACCAAAAATATAATTTTCTTAAGAAACGAGAAAGTTAAAAACTACATGTTTTGTAATTCTGTTACTGTGATATAATTTTAAAAAGAAACAAAAGTCAAATGTTTTCATATACTTTATCTAGAAAATAAGTATAAAATGTCTCTTTGCAACACATGATGGTCTATTAATACTCTTTATTTATCCATTGGTTAATACTTGTGTTTCTCTTTGATATTGAAACTTTGAAACTTTAAGTAACTTACCTCATATGAGTTATTGTAAAGGAAAGTGATGCTGTTTCATGCTGACGAAAATTCAAAGTAGACCAAAAAAACAACTTAAAAAAGTTTGTTAATACGGAAAGATCAGACAGAGCATGGTGGGACTTTTTTTTTTTTTTTTTTTTAAACAGTTATGGACGATAAACATCTCTCCAGCCTACGTGTAGTTTGTGCAGTTTGTCAGGTGATGTCTCTGTTCACCCGTGTGAGCCAAAGGTTTCATCAGTGGGAGGCATCGAATTAGTCAGTGATGACACATTTCAATTTTGAATAAATGAGGTAGACTCAAATTCAAACTAAAGCGGACGTGCGGTTTGCAACTTCAGCGCTGTTGGCTTCAACTTCTTCCACTGGGGTCTCTGGAATTTATGTCACAGCTGTTTTATGACACGTCTACTTAGTTAACAAAAGCTTATTCAGATCAGCCATTCATAGTGTAATGTATCACTTCAGATTTTAGTGAAAGTTGCACGTCAGTTAACACACAGTAAAGAAAACAGCAGAAATCTGGTTATGGCATTAATTCACTCTTTTATTTACACTTATGTTAAATGACAATAGAAACAGGAAGCGCACTGAGAGTCTCTCTCTTCCCCTCCCTCCCTCCCTCCCTCTCTCTCTCTGTCTTTCTCTTTCCTGTTTGTGTGCAGTGATACTTTTAGACTGAAATTGAAGTAAACTCTAATACTGAACCAACTTTTCTCACCAAAAAGTCAAGCTGCACCACACGACACAAAATATATGTGAAATTGAAAAATCGTTCTCCCTATATTACAGAGCTAAATAAATGAGCTTCCTTTAAACACGGACTAACTTTGTACTTTCAGCTTCTCTTACAGCTCATTCTCTTTGCACTGAGGTATCGTTTATGTCCAGAGGCGGCCTCACACAGGTTGCAGTCAAAGCATTAGTTTAGCAATGAATCCTGCAAACGCAACTTCTCACTAACATGTTTTTAAGCTGTTGCTGTCTGTGAAATGAGGTCAGTAAAATCAACATTTAACAAAAAGTGGTAGTACTGTAAATTCAGTTTTAGGTGTTGATGTCCCACTGTTTTCACATATTGTTCACATATTAGACGGTCGCCTCTGGCCCTGACCTGGTCAGCCTCTCTGGTTCACGTTTTTTAGGGGATGTCCATGTCTCCGTTAGAGGCATGGGAGTGGCGTTTTTCTAAATCACACCCAGCTCTGTTTTCAACGTTTTCTTTGCTCTCCTCATCCTGATCCTCTGATCCTGATCTCCTTCTGAGACGCAGCCCGGGATCTCTCTGCGTCGGGATCTGGAAGGACGAGAAAGAGCTTCCTAACGACGGTCTCTTCTCTGAAAACAAGGAAAGTAACGACAAAATACTTCAGAAAAAAAAGTCCATGTTTACAGCAGACAATTTAAATCAGAGCTACGTCTGTGGACAGATGGATTGGTCAAAAGATAAAGAATCAAGTTTATATTTAATTTATATCTAAAAGGGTATGAAATATAAAAATACTTTATTTTGTCTCTAGTGAGAAAGAGACAAAGAGTAGAATAATCACAGTCTCTACGAAAAAGGGTGTGAACTAATCTTTAAATGAATCAATGTTAAATATCAACCCAACCACAGCGATGGAATTTTACACTGACATTTAGTAACCTTCAGTTCATTCATGGGAAATAATTCAAATGTTGACAGCAACATAAAACAAAAATAAGTATTCTTTATCCACACAGTATTAGGTTTTATTATCATACAGCTGTCAAGAGTTTGCATGACCTCTGCCGGTGTGATACACTGACTGAAAGGTGAAAAAAAATATCTTTAAATCCATGTTTGTCATGTGTCATAATGCACCATCTCGTGGTGCAGGTGAGACACGTACCGCCTGGTCCGATTGGTCGCATCAGTCTGTTCATCTGGACGTTCCAGTGTTTGACGTTGGTGCTCGCTTGGCGAAGTTTCCTCTGCGCAGCCTGTCGGAGAAAAAGAGCTCCTCATGAAATCCTGTGTGTCACACAAGTAGCAGCTACTGATAAATAAACAAACTGATGCTGAAACATGTCGGCTGATTTGTAAATAAAAATCACAGATCGGGCTTTGCAACCAACTTAAAGTAAATGTTAGAAAATAAGTAACTTTTCATATTGAAGTTACAAAGTTCTTTGATATGAAAGAACAGTCCATCCTGTGCCTGTGATGCTATTACATTGAAAAAGTAGATGGAATAAATCAGACAAAGTCCTAAAAGGACGGACTAACCCCATAACAGAACTTGTTGATAACCGTGGTTCTGCTTGGAATTTGAAACCAGTGAACTGTTTTGTATGACAGGACACGATAGCTTTGGGTTTTGTCTCATTAATGTCTGTGTTACGCTGCATATTGTAATGTGTCTTGTCTGTAACTACATATTGTAAAAAAGGTTTTTAAAACAGAACTGGATCATGCGCAATTAAATAAAAGTGAACCCATATGACAAAAATCAAGTTAACTGAATAAATAACAGTAATACAGTAGAGGCTTTAAATGAAAACAGAAGGATATTATTGTCTTAATGTTTTATTTCAGACATCACACAGGATCTACAACAAGCAACAACTTTCAATTTCCACTAAGACATGAATTACTTGTATTCAATTAAATGTAGTTCTCCTTATTTTACTGTGCAGTCAGTGAGATTTCTGGTTCTTACCACGACATCCTGGTCAACCCTGTGCCGGTTGGCACGAACCTCCTCCAGCTGCCTCTGTGCCTCATCCAAGGCTCGAGACTTGGCCTCCATTTCCTGCTTCAGCTCCTGCTTCTCCCGCTGTGTCTTCAGGATGTACTCCTCCTGTTCTTCCTGCAGGGACATCAGTGCCTTCATCTTCTCCTCCTCCTCAGCCAGTAACCTGGACACAACAGAGAACATGAAAAAAAAAAAAGATTTTCTAGACACCAAGCTGTTTAAGATATTTATAGAGCATTTCAGGCATTAGAGAAAAGATGCACAGGGTAAGGTGTTTCCAGATTTACGTGATCAATTTGTCAGAAAAATCTAACTTGAAAATTTTGAGAGAGGCAAAAACAGCAACACGTCAGGTCTGGCTGGTGGCAACATTTAACAACTTCCTCTGCTGGCAACTCAACTTCCTCAGGAACATAACGCAACATAAACTCTTTTCAGCAGCTGAGCTGTCTGCACACACAAGAGCCTCCCTACTTACAGCTAACACATCATTATTTGCAAACAAATAACTTCTTATCGTGCTGTGAAATGTTTGTAGATCTCTATTTGTGTCCTGGGCGGAGATAAGTGACTTCACTCTACCCTGCTTGAGCGTAGCGGAAGGCCTCCTCGTCCAGCCTGGCTTTGATCTCCTGCTGCAGCGCCTCCTCCAAACGCTTCTGCATCTCCTCCAGCTCCTGGATCCTCTTCCTCTGCCTCTCTGCTTCCTCCTCTTTCAGAGCCATCTCTGCCTGCATACTGACCCGGGCCTTGACACACACGGCAAGAGAGCAAAGGGATGAACGGTTGCATGTTTCTGCTTCTGGATTCAAACTCTTTTTTTTCCTTCTTTGCCTCCACACTCACCTCCTCAGCCTCTCGCAGCTGGACCTCCAGGGCCTGCTGGAGCTGCTCATGCTGCTGGCGCCTCCTCTGCTCGTCCTGCTCCAGGAGGGCCTGAGCCTGCTTCTGCGCCTCCTTCAGGAGCTCCAGCTCCGCCAGCTTACGCTCCCGTTCCTCCTGCAGGGCCCGCAGCCTCTGCAGCTCCTCCTCCTTGGCCTGCCGTCTCTTCTCCCGCTGCTCACGCTGTTCGCGCCGCTTCAGCTTCAGATCTTTATGGAGGGACGTTTTCCCCTCCACGTGCAGCCTGATAGCTGTTTGAATGGCTGTGGAGAAGATATTGTTTAATCTGTTGATATCAAAATTAATCTTTTGAGATTGATCAGTGGTCAATACCAGTCTCCTCTGACCTGTAGTCCACTCCTGTCTCTGTTTGGTGTCTGAGGCGCTCATTTCATAAGTCTTGGAGAGGGTTTTAAGACAAAACATGCACCTCTTCCCATCTCGGTCTGGGAGCACCTGTTCAACAACAATAAATATCCCTTCATCATACACTGATTTTTCTTTTTTACATTTGCTGTGACCATTTCTGTAATAAACAGTGGTGAGGAGAAAAAAGAAACAGTGAACTCACTGGGAAAAGGACGTTTTTGATCCATTTTGAACGACCAAACAATATTTGATCATCGTCTACTTCCTATAATAAAGCATGATTTTAGAATGATTGTTTGTTTTGCTGTGGAGTAACACATGGTGCAATGTGTAGTGCTCTTGCTGGAAAAAGGCAGAACTTGACCAGATGCTTTTTTGTAAATGTGCTCAGTTTGGTACCATGTAGCATTGATGGGCTAATAATTGACTCAGTGTTCACATCAGAAGACACCAAAGCAGCCCGAGGAACAATCGCTCTATTTCAGCTCTGTTCGCCTTCGCATTCAGAGCGGCTCATTCATGAGAGTGAGGATCTTCAGCTCTGTGAGATTTGTGAGGAAATGTATAATCTGATTGTGAATCTGAAAAAGACAACCCTCAGTTTCCTACTGCTTCGCTGGTTCCCAACCGTTTTTTGGTTACGACACCTAAATATGAAACAGCATCCACTGTACTTGTGGACTGTATGAAAATCATAAGTAGGGAGGGGTATTCAGAAACAGAAGAGCGAGTTATTTATGTATTTTCTCTTTATTATCTCTTTTGCTGAAGGGAGGTGTTATTACTTTTTTGATGCGTCATTTGTTGTAATTCTACAGCCTGTCCCTTCTTCACTTATTCTGCATTGTAACAGAGAGCAGCACAACGTCACAGTAAAATGTGTCACAGAAATTAAATGTGTCATATAAAGTGACAGTGACAGCTTTAAGGTGAAAATACAGATTGGCAGGAATACTGGTGTTGGTATTGGCAAGGTTTTAAGGTTTACACTGGAGGTCATATTCTTAAATTCTTTGTGCGCTTTAAGTTGCTTATGTCACAATAAAATTTCCTCTTAGTCAAGGGAGGGGTCCAAAGAAGTATAAGTATATTTAAGATGGTATATTTTCATACAGACTCTTGTGGCTCCTCATGACATTGCATGTGTACAGGCTGTGTTTCATTTTAATGTTTTGGGGCGATTATTCGAGATAAAGTTTTCCATCAATTCACAGGAGAAACCAGCGAATATTAAAAAAAAAAAAAAAAATCTGTGAACCATCTTGTGAACCTTTCTGCTTCATCTTGCAACACCTTGGGGAAGTCCCCGCCCCCAGGTTGGGAACTGCTACAAAACAAAGTAAATAAGCAGCATGTATTTCTTTCCTGGACAAACTGACAGTGAATTCGTTGTTATTAAAAGCCACAGGTCCTTCCAGTGTTAAGTGTTTAGCTTTGCAAGACGATCATCTCCAGCTGCTTACCTCCACGCAGCAGTTCCCATCCAGAGCTATGTTGCCCTGGCACTCCTTGCGGTCCTCCCCGGTGTAGTAGGACAAGTTGCTTGGCCTTAAGGTGAACCAGCGCTCCTTCCAGTTTCTCCTTAGCTGGCCTTTTTTCCACAGATAACCCTGCATGCACCCAAAGCAACACACACATACTGTCACCACCAAAGAGAGGAGCATGTTGGAAACCAAAACACAGACTTCTGGTGGCGGAGGGTTCTCCTACCTCTTTGAGGACATCACCAACTATCTCCCTATATACTTCCTCTATAGCCATGCTGACTATGCTTTTATCAATTCCTTTGGTTAGCTTTCCTGTGTTCATCATCTGCAGAAAAACCCAAACAGTGATGCCACTCTGCTGCACTGAGTCCTGGGAGAAGAAGTCCTCCAATTCAACACAGTTGAACTCAATACTCATAGCCATGCAGACCTTCTTGAGGAGGTACTCCACCTAAAGAGAAAAAGGAACCAAACGTCTTGAAGGTGAGAACTAATATGATTCATTTCAACTACCTGTTTGTTGTATTATCATAAAGGGAGGAAGAGAGATTCTTTTTTCTTTTACTACAGTTGTGGAGCTTTTCACAATAGATTGTTTGTTGACTGATCAAATCAGAGGACTCTGAGAATTAAAGATCAGATTCAACAGTGCTGTCCTTTGTAGAGGACTTTTATTCATGTTTTTTCTTAATTAAACCTACTTCAGTAACAGTATTTATGACACTGTGGTACATATTGTACCACAGGTTTTTCGTACAGTGGTCAGCGTGTGAAGCCAAAATACTAAAATAAAACTGGATAATGTTTTCTTCAACCCAGTATGATAGAAACTACTCTGCCCTTGAAATTTAGGGCTTTCTCTTGGCAGCGTCTGTGAAAAACACTTGACAGGAAACCAAAACGAGAGTTTGCAAGTGAGAAACAAGCCCACACTGCTGCACAAAAAGAGCACCGTGTTCCATGATGGCAAGAAATAAGGTTTCAGCTGGGGTGTACTTAGTGATTGTAAATGATCCAACACCATTTTTAGGTCCCAGATTACCGACTACAGTCTTAACAACAGAGCACAGTAACTTAAAACATTCATGTGGCTAAATTTAGAAACAAGCAGCCACGATCAACTCTGACTTCAAGATGTACAAAGTTGTTTGTTTATGTGATCTTACAACAGAATTCTTTTTTTTTCAGTCTAATTATGTCTTGAATAACAAGTACTACTTCATATTCCCAAGTAAATATATTATTTTTATGAGAAATCAGATATGCTTTGTGATTGTAACTGTAGTGAGTTAGTGCGAGGAAAGTCCTCTAAGTCTAAATATATTGTAGTTGAACCCACCTCATCAGGGACCATCACCAGAGGGTATTTGTCCTCAGACAGAAAATTAAAAAGGCACCAGAGCCGAAAAGCATCCTTCTCTGGCAGAACAGTGCTGCTGTTTTTGTCAGTCTGGTAGTTTTTCTTCGCCGTAAGAGTCCAACAGAGCTCATCTACGTTTTCCTTATTAAAAGAGCCTTCAACAACCTACAAACAAGAAAATGTAGAGACTGAAACAAAGCTTTAGCAGCCTCATTGACTTCAGAGCATTAGTTTGGTGAAACCAAAAGAGCATGTAGTTGTGTTTTTATCACCTTATCCAGGATGTATTTGTTGAGATAAGGCATATAACCCTGACTGGAAACTGGGCCATCATCATCATCCCTAAAGTGCTCCTCCAAGGCAACTGGGTCATGTGGGATAGAGAGGACTGTGCACAGGTTGTGGGACAATACCTGAGAAATCACAATGTACAGGACAAACATATTTAAAACTGTAGCACTGATATTCTAAATCCATATGTAGAACACAGATGAATCAAATCAGCCATAATGACATGAATGTGATGTTACACTACGGCCAAAGCTAAATAACCTTCTGTATTTGTAGTGGACAGTTGCAAACAAACTCAAAATTAATTTCTGTTGAATCATATTTTTCTAATAATAATGTTTGCAAAAAAAAAAAAGGTGACTGGAGTCAGCAAGATACGGTAATAGAAACTGCATGGTGAACATTTTCAGATACCATATTTAAACTGATAAAGAAAAAAGTCAAAAGTCAGTCAATTGTACAACACCTTTTACACAGGTTAGTGCGGCTCAAAGTGTTTCACAGGTGAATGACTAACAAGACCGTGTAAAGACAAAAATATAGAAAAGCTTGAAAAATGTGAAAACACATGAGAAAAGAAAAAATGAATAACGGGCGTTAAAACGAAGATGAAAATCAAATATCCATAAGACACAGTAGAAAGTCAGATTACATTATTAACTATAAATAACACCATATACTGTATGCAATCAGTGAAAGGTGTAACTGTTTCAAAGGGGATTCTATCTAAATAAACCTCAAATTCTTTAGCTTTTACTTCAACTGAGAGCTTACAGCGTCCTCACATATGTATTGCATGTTATCAGACAATCTGTCTCCGTGTTGAGCCATAACCACATCCTGTCTCTGGTCTCCAGTACACTACAACATCTGTCAGTTCTGAGGCCACGACATGCAAACTGCTGCGAGCGTGTCTTAAGAACATAGTGCCTGTACAGAGGCTGCATGCATGAGAGGGATAAGCCTAGTCATGAGGCTGACTCGCTGTGAGCCAGGAACGGCAGGCAACACATCGCAGGAACGTGGAGGTGGCTCGAAATGGAGTCTGATCCACACCAAGACTAAGTGACATAATGATGAGAGCAACAAGAATACAGCCCTGTGGCAAGAGACAACAATCACCAACATGTTTCCACTTTGTCCTTGCTCTCACTGTAACAATGTTCTTTTGACGTACACAGGCTCATGTTGTGAACATACTCTATTCAACAGGCTGTTCTCTGGGCAGGTCCAGTGCCAGAGGACCCTTTGCACTACATGCTGGTACGTCGAGGCCCAGAGTAAGCACAGCTTTGCGATGAGGGCTCCCATTCATATACAGACTGAGAGCAAACTGTTACTCTGGTGCTCTTGCCAGACAGAGGTGCATATTGTGCCCTCTTTCAGCAGTGAAAGCATTTTACTCGAAATATAGGGAACAAATTTGTTCCTTGTTAAACAGAATGTAGTTTTAAAAAACTGTTCACACAGGAAATATTGAGGATGATAAGACTGTGCACACCCGTATTTCCTGGAGTACAGAATCAAATATGACAAAGATTAATGAATTTGTGACATTTAGTTCGCTGAGCACTTCAATAATAATTCATAACTCATCTTCCTCATAGCGAGTCCACGTGATGGAACGTGAATTGAGGTAGGAAACGAGGCAGTAGAGTAAAATAGTGACTGAATTCTCAGGCAAAAAAACTTTACTTAAGTCCCATCTTCCAGGTAGAGGACCCACCACTCACCTTCAGCTGAGACTTGGACACCTTACCGCTCTTCTCCAGATCCAGGGCTGTGAAGCCGTACCAAATGGACTTGAGCAGCTCAGATCGCAGATCCATTTCTGCAACAGTGTTACTTCTTCTACGTCTCTTCTTCTTCCCTCTGCTGTTGACATGGGCCCCTGGGTGACAGGCAGACACCCACACAGTGTTGCTGCTGTCAGACAGGCATGGGGCTTTACCATTCTGCTGGCAGCGACACCTGCTGGATGTACTCGGTCACTGACAGAGTGGGAGTGTCCTATTGTTTACATTCTCTCACCCTGGAAGGAGTTTGAATACAAAAACTACATCATGAAAATACCCCCTTACAAGTTAGAATGTACTCAGAACCTCCCTTTCAAACTATGTTAATCCCTAGGGGATAAATAAAGTGTCTATCTATCTATCTATCTATCTATCTATCTATCTATCTATTACATCTGGAATAATTAGTTGATTAATTAATAAGTCAGTTGACATAAAATGAATTATCAATATTTTAGTTTTTCCACATAAAAACACCCCAACATTCTCTAGCTTCTACCTCTCCAGTGTGAGGATATGCTGCTTTTCAGTTTTATTTCATTGTATATTGAATCATTTATAGACCAAACAAGTAGCTATTCAAGAAAGTAATTGTCAAAATAACTGATGATAAAAATAATTATTTATTGCAACCCTTAATTATTACACTTTTACGTTATCAAATTATGTTATATCAGTAAGATATTACTACTGTTGCATTAACGTTAAAGTTGCTAGAAGCAGAGCTAATTTTGACTATGTACATTCTTGGTTGGTCTTGTTCATAATAATTATATAATCATATGTTTTGTCTGTAAAATCTCAAAGAAACATATGCAAAATGACTAGTAACTAAAGTTGTCAAATAAATACAGTGGAGTAGAAGTGTACAGTAGCATAATATAGGCTACTAGCATGTACTCAAGAAAAGTACAGGTCCCTCACCAGTGTGGCCTTCACAGACTGGTGATAGTATAGGATTTACAAGTAACTGTTACTGCTAAATATGACTGTTTTTTCTACAGACCTGAGTGACTGGACGTAAGGTAGGTTATATTATCACTATGATAATACGTTATCATTTGCAACAAGGTTTCACTCTTTTGTTTACTTTTATGTCTGTCTGTCAGGAACAATGAAATTGGCGTAAGCTTTAGCTTATTTAGCTAGTTATCAGTTCCAAACTAGTGTTAACAGTCAGTTTTCGTTATTTTGCGTTAATTATATTGTTAATTTGAGTCTTTTGGATTATGTAAAAATAAATAAAACTACCGACTAGCCTACAGCAGTTTGGTTCCAGCCCTTTGAATCGCCAATGTCTCAGGTTTTTGAGCAAGTCGAGGAAATTAGTTTAAGGAGTCATTATAATTAAGTGGTGACAAAGCTAAATAGCTTCACTAGCCCCAGAAGTGTCAGAACAAATGTCTCCAAATCTATCAGCAATTGTTACGTTACAATACGTTTGTTTAGCCGGATTAATATAGATTTTCCACTCTGGTAGCCAATGAAGTTCTATTCTATTCTATTCTATTCTATTCTATTCTATTCTATTCTATTCTATTCTATTCTATTCTACTTGCATGCAGGTGGGGGGAGGCCGCGGCAAAAGGCAGTCACGTGGTAAAACTACTTTCGCGTCGTTACCATGGAGCTGTTTATGAAAATCCGTTTCTCATTGGTTAGAGAAATTGTCATGACTAGAGTTTGCGCAGTCATTGGTTGGCATGGCTTCCTATTGCGACCAATGGCGAAGCCCGCTTTTTACAAACTGCTGCGAGTCCAGGAAGTTGACAGCCCTCCGCGATGTGAAAGGTAGCAACAAGGGATCTTTAAATCTGCACAAAACGCCTGGAAAACCAAAACATTTGGAATTAATTGTATCAGAAAGACTTTATCGTATGCCCAGGACGAAGTAACAGTGGCTCCTTTGTATATTGAAAGTATGTAAAGTATGTAGTAAACGGCTTTGCATGTATACGTAGCATGTGCTAAGTGTAAAAGACTTAAATTTATCCTTTCACTCGAGTTAAAGCTAATTTCTCTTGGTAATGTTTCTAGTCAACACTTTGGTTTTTACTCTGCGCAAGCTTGGTTACTACCATTTATGTGCTCTATTAATTAGGCAAATATATTCCGTTATTTATTGCCTGATTATAGTTCAGTGTCGTTGATGGTGAGATTTCGCTTCACGGAGCCCTAGTTTCATCCACTTGCTTGTTGTTGTTGCTTACTATCTTTGGTGTCTGTTATTTTTGTTTTTGCAGATTAGTGGTTTATGTGTTCTGTCCGTCTTTGTCGTCACTTTGCTATTAGTCTGTATGGTGTTTCACTCTTGGCTACTCAACTTTCATTTCTTTTTTTCTATTCCTTGTTTCTCTAGTTCTTCTCTACACATTCACCACCCACAATCTCCTCCTGTCATCACTATGGATTCCTCTGCAGTCCTTCGTCAGCAAAGTCGGAACAAAATTTGCAGTGACTTTATGAGGTAAGCCAGTTTATAAAATATGAGACACATCTTCAGTTTTCTTCTCTGCTTGACTTTTGGTCTGGGCACTGAATACCTTTTTGGAACCAACAGAAATGTATCTGTGGTACCAAGTATCAAAGACTCAAAGTCAGGCAACAATGTTGGGTCATATTTGTAATCTAGTTTACCTATTTTTTGATCATTTGTTACTGATTTAAATCTAAACTTTTTGTTGTAGATGCTGTTCAGTCTGTTCAGTCTGTGGTCTTGTGTCTTGTTGTCAAAGTAAAGTAGCAAAAATAGCTTTGGTAGTGTTACTGGAACTCATGTATTATAACAGCACTAGTATCACAAAACAAACAGACAACACCCAACTCTACACTCACCAAGCACTTTATTAGGAACACCATAGTAATATTGGGTAGCTGCACATTAGTGCTGACAGTCTCCTTTCCTACCACATCCCAAAGCTGTTCTACTGGATTCAGATCTGCTGACTGAGGAGGACACTGAATGACACTGAACCATTGTGAGACAGCTTTTGTTTAGTGACATTGTGACATGCTGGAAGTAGCCATTAGAAGATAATAAGTTGTGGTGATAAACGGATGCACATATATTTATCAAACTAGCCCGTGTAGCACCAACAATTGTGCCACAGTCAAAGTTTCCAAGATCATATTTTTGTGAACATTAACTGAAGCTCCTGACCTATATTTGCATGAATAAGCAGGTGTTCCTAATAAAGTGCTCAGTGACTGTACTCACTTTACTATTTTGCAACTGGCTGTGTTTTTTTTCCCACACAGAATGAAGAATGAACATAACAAAATGCCAGCAGACTCAAAGCCTTCCAAACTTGTGTCTACATCTCACCTTTCTAAACAAGAAAGTGAGAACAAAGATCCAGGAATCTCAGAAATAGGCAGAAAGGCACCTGTGCGACCAGGTGTAAGCAGGCTACCGGTGCTTGCAAAGTCTCTTCATCTTCAGACTCCTTCCAGCTTCAGTCAGTCCCACTGTAGGTGGGAGGAGAAACCTCTGGCTGTAAGTGCCTCCTTCCTGTCGTGTAGATTTAAATGTTTTCATTTAATGAGGAGATTGTTATTTTCTTAACACTTTATAATTTTACTACAGGGGAAAGCTAAGAAGAAAAAGCCATGCACCAGGCCTGTGCCGTTTAACCTGTCTCAGCCTAAGAGTTCAAGAATGACCAGCGAAAATCAACTGCCCCTAACTGTGCCACAATCACAGACTGGCGCTGATGCTGTCCAACCTGAAAAAAATGTATGCAATCCTCGTCTTAAGACCCAAACCATAAATTCAAAACCTTCCAAACCTCAAGCTGTGTTAAACAGCCACGTGGACTCAACACACAAGTCTCATCGAAAGGCTACAGAAAATATATCCCACCTGTTGGGGAAGTCTGGGCTTCCCAACATTTTTAAGACTTCAGCCACTTTGTCCAGTCCTCTGTCAGCCATTCCTAACAACACTCTGCAGGACAGTGCTCCTTCTTTTGCACAGACTGCTCTTAGTGCAGAGACCTTTTTGGAAAACATGAACCTGCTCAGTCTCAAAGATCCAACCAAGACTTTGCACATCAGCCAGAACACAGAGCTGACCTCACAGGTTCATTTTTCAAAGGGTTCAACTGGTAAGTTAGGCTTCTTGTTGACTTGACATTGCTTTTCAGTGAATTTATCTGCATCTTAACGTTTGTAGCTGTGTAGATACATTCGTTTATATTTGGCAGTAAATCGAGCACACAGTAATTTTGAATGTTTTATTGTTTTAATCTGCACTAACTGGACTTTATCCAGTTGTTATATTGCTGTGACAGCATCTCTTCAAAGGCCAGGCCAATAACACAATTGTAATTTATTGTTAATTTGATAGCTAGAAATGTTAGCATTTCCACGATTGCCTGCTCTCTTTTCTAAGTTGTGACTTGTTGACTACATTCCTCCTTGTGAATAGTAGCCGTCAGTGGTTCTGAGGTTGATTTCTTATGTATTTCAGACAAAGGGGAGAACTTCCAGCCCAACCATGCAGCTTTGCTCAGTATCCTGCGGAATGAGGGAGTCAGCACCACAGATCTGGGATCTGCATCTCCACAGTCTAAACCGTACAATTATCTGGTGAGCCTGTTTGATAATCATCATTTACTACCTTTTTTGTCTTTTGGTCCCTGTGCTCTTACTGACAGGGTTGTTATTGAGGTGTTGGGTTTTTAATGTTTATTTTTGTCTGAAAAGTGATTTCAGTGTTTAACATGAGTCCAATAATCATCTCTGTGCCTGCTGGTGATTCTCTTGTTTGCAGCCCCAGCGAGTGTCTGTCATGAAAAGTCGACAAAAAGCTGGGCCCACCACAGGTTAGCAGAAGACTTCATTTGACTTCATTTTGTTGATGTCGTGGTACATTTTCATGTTTACTTATAGGGCTGCAGGTAATTATTCAATTAAGGGACTAGTTCTGCATTTCTGGAAAATAAACTTATTATCCTTCTTGCTGAGAGCTACATGAGAGGATTGATACAACGCTCATGTCTGTATGGTAAATGTTTGACTACCAGCTGGTTAATTTATCTTAGCATAACAACTGGAAACGGGGTGACAACTAGCCTGGCTCTGTCCAGAGGTAACTGGTTGCTGGCTGCAGCTGCAGAACAACTGAACTGAACAGTCTTCAGTATTACTTATATCACTTGTTACTGAGGTGAAAAGTTCAATAACAAACAGTAAACAGTAAAAACAGTCAAATTCAGTATCACTGAGTTTGGTCTTTGCATATCTGGTGAATCTGTGCTCTTTGTTCTCTTCTTGTGGGATTAGCAAAGTTGGTGCCGTTCTCCCCGGACCCCGCTGCACTGCAAAGTATCCTCCAGAACGAGGGGGTGAAGGCTGGAGGGCTCGCAAGTGCCACGCCCCGAAAGTCTGTCTGTCCGTCAGGCAGAGGCACTTCAGTCTACACAGTATGAACACATTACATGTGTTTTCCCTTCTGCTCTTCTTCCTTCTTATTCCATTTATTGTAGCTTTTTCTTCTTTCTAGATTACTGCTCTGCTTTTGAAACGCAAATACGCAGTTTCATTTTCTGTGTTGCTTCCTTTCACAGGCTCAGAGAGTGCCGGTTAGGAAAAATCATGCAGAGGCGACCAGCGGACCAGTGGGTAAGATGCAGCAATGTCGTTCTTGTTATCTTATAAAACCTAATGCATCCTTATCTCTTTGTCCTTTCATCCTGATGTGACTCGGCTGTTTTATCCTCAGCACTAGCGCTCAGAGAGACTCCGCTGAAGAAATGGACTCCACAGAGAGTCCGCGACACCAGACATCAGCCCATGTCTTCTATGGTCAGTATACATGTATTGTACGCTCATATTCTCTCTGTTTGGCATGTTGTGTTTCCTACAGTCACTTCTTTATCTCATGATGCTGCTGTTTTCAGAAATGGCATCTGTCGACACCGTACGCTGCCACTCCCGGGCTGAAGAGCAAAACCAACCTTCAGCCGCACCAGGAGGTAGGGGCGGAAAATTATTTCAATTTTATAATGTGTATAGAGGGAATTTACACAAACGTGTGCTTTACAGAAATACTGTATTATGAGAAAACTAAAAATAGAAACTTGAGGCAGAGTCAGAGTAAAAACTCACCTTGAAGGGTCTTTCAATAAAATCAAGAAGTCTCCACTTTTTCATTTTCAATTTAGATAAATTGAATGGAAGCAGCATTTCAAAAATGTAAATATGAGGTTTTCTCAACAAATAGCGATGTTTTAAAAGCAGCATGCTGGATCTGTTTCACATCACGTCCTCACTGTAACAACTGGTTAGTGGGACAGAAATGTTGGAGCCACATTTGTGTCCTGGGAGTAAATAATAGGACATAAAGTGCTGTATTTCTCCCTGTGTGTCTGAAAAGGCTTAAAAAGGAGTTTTCTGTTTCTGGACCTTTTTTAGTGATGTCATTCTTAGTAAAATTTGGATTTCACATCTTAGATAATCTGCTATTGTAAATGATGACCCTCTCAAATACGAGGTTTTTGACATGGGTTTTGATGGGAGGATGGATGACTGAGATATTGGCAGGACATTTGAGGCCTATTTTTATTATTATATATATAATTAAGATATTTTGGATGTTGAAGATCAACAAATTAATTTTTCTACTAAATTCAGCACTTGGAAGAAAAGATTGCAGATTTTAAAAGTAGGCTGCGATGATGCCGCACCATTTTACTACAATAAAATGCACTTCAGAACAAAGAGCCTGTACGATAGATACTTTTGATCCTAAGCTTTTTACCGCTCCCATCGCAGCATATATTCTAACCAAAAATGAACATACCGGATCGCAATTCATATGACTTTCTCGTTTATTAGCAGGAGGTCGTCCAGAGATTATTTGAGGATCAAGAGGACGAGCAGAACACAGACGTGACAGACAAAGATCCTGAGACACAAGCAGAGCAGCTCCCAGTTCAAGCCTCAAGTGTAAGAAATCCAAAACGTGCCACCAGACACAGATCCATATTGAATTAAGTTGTTTATGTAGTTGTTTTGTTTCCTCCCTCACTTCTCCAGACCAAATCCCGCTGTGAAGAAAAGTTAGAGAGCAGGGCTAACATCAGCAAGGATGAGGAGCAGGAGCGGACGGTTGCGGGAGAGCAGCCGTTCTTTCAGGCACCGCAAAGAGAGTCGGTCATTTTTTTCTCAACGGGCAAAAAGCTGCTCAGAGCCCCACGTTTTGAGAAGCAGGAGAGCTCTTCTGATCAGGATCAGCATGGTCCAGTTTCATCAGAACAGAGAACGGTGCAGCCAGTACAAGAAGAGATGTCATCTGTGTCAGAACCGAGCGGTCAGATCAACCCTCCTGTTCAGAGTCTGCACAGAGGTAACACTGACATATCACATTCACATAATGAATACTGTCCGACAGTATTAAACAGAAAATCCTCACAGTCCTCATTATTCTGTACTTACCTGAATATAAGACAGTATTACACAGATATTCAGATACATCACATTTTATTTTTGAATGTATAGCTTACTGGGTCCTACAGAGAGTTGGTATTATGGGTTGTTGGCTGCCTTGATATTGCCAAGCTAGCGGTTTCCTTGCAGTTATTTCACAGTGGTTGTGTCTGAAACCACTCACTCGTTCCCCCCTCCCTCCTCACTATCCAGGGAGTTCAGTGTAGAGGACGATACAGTGAGCTCATCGGTTAAATGAAAAAACACTTCCAGACACTCAGGTAATTTTTGCTGCACTGTTTTTCTGTCTCTCAGTGCAAGCACAATGCATGATGGTATATATTGCTTGGTTAGTGACCATCAGTGGTATACTTACATGATGCATTGTGGGATACTATGAGTCCACTATATAGGGTATAATAATTGTCACTATACATCCGGACAGCACTACAAAATGGGGAACTGACTATATAGTGGACTATGTAGGGAGTAGTGAGTGATTTCAGACACAGCCAGTTTTTCCCCATCCTACATAAATGTGGGCTTCACTTGATGCCGTGATGGAAAGATTTCATCTTTCACTTCTATGAGAGAAAATGCTTCAAGGACGAACACAGTCTTATTCTTGAACGGACAGTGTGTTGGGGAAACTTTACCAGCAGCATAAACCGCTGTTGGATAATAGATGTTAGTCTTCTCATTGTTTTTTCAATCTTTAAGAGACAGTGTGAAATATTTTGCATAAATGTCACCATGCAGTTTGTGAACATTAGCTTGAATTTCCACTGTGACGCCTGTTAAAAGTCTGACTCTTTCTCTCACAGACATCAGTGTTCAGCGGAGTTGTGGTCTGAGTCCTGCAGTTGCGTTGCTGCGTAAGCGTCTTCCTCCTCTGGAGGAGCTGCGTATGGACGAGGAGGTGGCCAACTACACCTCAGTGTCCGTCCCGTCTGCCTCCGGGTTTCTCCCACCACGGCCTCGCTGTAGAAACCCGCTGGCCTCCATCCTGCACTTCGAAGAGTCCTCTGTGAGTACACAGCTGACAGTGTGCAGTAGGAAGTACGGTGCTAAGTGTAGTATTTTACTTTAAATCGATGACTGTAATGATCACCTTGATGAAATGATTAATCCATCAGTTATTTTTTATTAAACAATAGGAAAAATGTAGAATTAGTTACCAGAGCAAAATATGTTCAAATTGCTTGTTTTGTCTAAATACAAAACAGCATATATATATATATATACAGTGTATATATATATATATATATATATATTATTTTACAAAAAACAAAAGAACTAGAAACAAAGAACAAATGTCTGAAGCCTTGTGCTCCCTAGAATCTACAACTTGAATGACAAACCAAAACACAAAAGGATTGAACAGAAGACATTAAATGGCGACAATCTGCTCTAATTGCAGCCCCACCATGTGTGGTGCTAGAAGAAATGTCATGTGATCATTAAAGGAACTAAGTTTTTGTTGAAACACACACACCAACCCTAAAGACTGGAGACAGGGGGAAACAGCTAGCCTAGCTCTGTCAGAAGGTAACATAACTTGTTGTTTTTACACAGATTCAGCAAACAATACATGTTAATCAGTGAGTTTTAGAGGTGTTGGTAGACACATTTTGTTACCTTTGGACAGAGACAGGCTAACTGTTTCCCCAAGTCTGCTAAGCTAAGCTAACTGCCTGCAGGCTTTAGTATATTTAGGAAATAAACATATTTTCCAAAAGGTTTAACTATTCCTTTTAATTCTAGACACAATATGATGCAACACGGTGCAGTATTACAGCCCTACAAGTTGTCACAGTTAGTGTAACGATGACATCCTGAACGGCACATAGCACTTAAAACATATACGTAGATATCCTCTGTACATATACACAGATACACAAGTTAATACAAATCCAACTTTTCCTTTTGTTTTTCCAGAGATTTGTTCCAATTGGCTTCGATCTCCCCTCTGGTCCTTCCTCTCCACACAGCTCTCCACTGCAGGAGAGATGATTTGCACACAAGTACAGTATTTGTTTTTACTGTGAATGTCCAGAGTGGATAAGCTTACTCCCTTGTACTGATGACTGAGAGTTTCTCTAGTGGAACTGATGATGTTTGTCCAACACTGCTGTTGCCAGCCTTAACACAGGTCTAAAGAACGCTACTGGTGTCATTTTTTTCAAACCGTTTGTCTTACAAATGTTTATGATTTTACTTTTTAACAGATGCTTTCTAAAACAAAAAAATTGAGGTTATATGTGTTAAATGAGGCATCTTTTATACTGAAGGCACTAATCTTTATCCATAATGTAGATGCACAGCTCTTACATATTATGTTTATGACATGAATCCAAACCTAAATGTGGGAAAAGTAAATGTTGTAAAAGGTCAATGAAGACACTAGACTTCATCAGTGTTATAGTTATAGCACGCACGTAGATTAGGAACATTGTTATTAGTTATTTGCAATTTTTTAAAAACCAGAATCTTGTTGTGGACTGAAAACGATTAAAATTCATAATGTACAGTGTTTATAATAAATGTATATATGTTACTGGCAAGACATCTGTGATTTTCCTTTCAGCTCTTGAAACTGTTGACAAGGGCTTCTTCACCATACACATACAGGCCAGTACTCTTTGCTCTTCTGTGGCTCTGGAGGCAATCATATAAGTTTTTATTAACATATTTCAATATACACATTCAATATAGACAGTATTATCATCTTTAATTATGAGATATTCCAAATCCCATGGTACACAGACATATTTAAAACCGGAATAAACATATGGCAATTAAAGTAATATGACCAGATCACAGTGTCTCACTCATGCTATGAGCAAAAAACCCGTCCCTATAACTTTTCACCTTCATCATTGATTTTAGCAAACAAGTTTTCCATGATCTGAGGATCACTCAGGCAGCTGTGATGACCCCTACCTATATCACTGTAAAGTTGATATTTTGATATATTGGTCAGTTCTGTTTGGCCCACCAATAGTCACAGTCTTGACGACACAGGTATCATCAAGCCCACCCACTTCCCTATGTGTTCCAGTACTTTTTCCCAAAACAGGTGGACAAGTTTACACTCCCAAATTACATGTAAAAGTGTTCGAGAAATTTTATTGCAGAAACCCTGAGTCACACACTAGTTTGAAAAGTATGGATGTTTACCAGGCAGGCGGGATTAAAAGACGTCATGATATTTATTGGTGGTGTTTTGGGAAAAGATTCAGTGTTCTTGGAGCATGCTTGGGACTAAAGGTCAGGTTGAGTGCTGAAACAGTTACCCAGTCAATCAACAGAAAATCAACTATCAAAGTTTGTGATAATCATGTAAATGTTTAAGTCATTTATGAGGGAAAAGCCAAATATTTGCTGGTTCAAACCCCTCAAATATCAGATCAAATCAGTCAAATTCTATCTTATCTATCATAGTATATTGAACCTTTGGACTAAACAAGCAATTTGACTGTTATTGTGAGCTCTCAGAACTTGAGAGTGTAATAAGTGTTTTTATTTTTCACTATGACTTTGTGAAATTAATAGTCAAATGTTTTGATAAAGAAAATAATTGTTGGTAGAGGCCTTACAATTTTCCAATGATGGAATATATCTTTACTGCATGACACAAGATATACCATATTGTCTTGCATTCGTCAGATTTTCTCTGGGCCAGATGTAGAGTTCACGCCTTTTTCTGGAAGGGCATTACATACAGTACTCTACATGTGAAACACACCCTGCTGCTGAATCGGCTCGACTCGGAAAGACCGTTTCCATTTGGGCGATTAAATGTCAAACATAACGACCTGAGACCAAAGAGATGAATTCAGCGAGCTCATGTTGTGTTACAAAGTGTTGATTAAATAGCAAAAGGTATTCAATTTACAATGAAATGAAAGGAGGAGAAGAAGAGAGAATGACTTGATTAATAAATGATCAGTTTTGTTGATTGACTAATCGATCAATCGACTCATCGTTTGAGTTCAGGATTCTTCATTCTTTTTTCAGAAACTTTTGAGTTTCTGCTAATTTCATGTGCAGAAGTGACACAATGACACAATGAACCAAAGAAGTGACCGTTTTTCTTTCAAAATCCTTTTCCATTATTTTGCTGCTTTGCGCGTCTTAACTGGAAACAACTAATGTGAAGTAGATTCAAACTGTTTCCTGTCACATTAAAGCCACATGCATTGTGTTTCCCTGCTTGTAACTGTCCACTGCAGGTGGTTACAGGACCTGATGTATATTTAGTAGAGTTGAGTGAGTGGTGGAGGGTGTCAGCGGGAGGGGGCTCGGGGCAGGATTAGGAACAGTAGTCTATAAAGCCTGCGCCTTCACTCGTGCCTCCCCTGAGAAGTAGAGAGTGAAGGAAGAGCAGCTGCCCTCTGGTCTTTCTCCTTTTCCTTTTCCTTTTCCTTTTCCCTTCATCGCGCCCACCTGTCTGCCTGGTTCCTCTGGCAACATGTCCCAGAATGTCAATCCAACCGCGGACCCCACAAAGATGGGGCTTGGACGGTCCATTGCCGTGCTGACGTCAGGAGGAGACGCCCAAGGTAAGCAGAGGATGAGGCTGCACAATTTCAATCACTGCTTTACGTTTGAACTGTTAAAACATAAAATCAGCAAAATGGGGAAAAGCATCTTCCCTGCTGATGTGTCTGAGCACAACAACGACACTGGATCCAACCAGCTGTAGAAACACTGGTCTCTCTACTTGTAAAGTATCATGTTAATGCTCTGACTGCATGACATCCTAAGTAAGCGCACGCAACATTTTTCCAAGATGTAAGAGTAGCAGAGTCGAAGGCCAGCTGCCGGGGAATGACGAGTCTGAATCCTATTTGAAGTCGTGAGCAGTTGCCTAATGTCCTTATAAATGACAGACAAAGCCCATAAACTCCCACGGTTGGCTAAAATGTCTAGTCGATTTAAGATAAGAAACTGTAACAATCAAGCTTCATCTAAGAGTTCTTTGAGATATCATTCAAACACGTTGTTTTTTCTTTCCAGACTAGTTTGACAGTTGATAATTATAATTAATAATTTGACGTTCAGCTTCTATAGACAATTAATCCATCAGCTCTACTTGAAGCTCAACTCGGCGATGTCTCATATTAATGTCATATTGCTGTTTCATCTTTCCCTCCAAACCTGACTCTGACTCTTTGTGTAGGCTTTATTTGCCCCTTGTCCCCCTCGTGCATTCCCTTATTTCACCTTTGGGGCTAATTTTAGTGGCTGTGACCTTTTTCTGGTATGGAGGAGAGAAACGCCCACCATCCACAGCTGCTGTCTGTTGAAACAAGAGCTGCAAGATCTGCCAGCCTACCACAACACAAACGTACACCGTGGCCTTTCGTGTGCCAGACAGCCAAGGGCGAGATGCTACACAAGACGTACAGTCCCATAACCTCAGCTCCTTTCCCTAAGGGTATTTTTGTCTCCTCTGATTCCAACGTATAGGTCACTTAAAGGTCAAGATGGGTGTAAGTCTTGTGACAGGAAGTGTTATGTAGGATCTGACACTGTCATGTGATTAGTGATGATATCAATTTTAATTTCATATCATTTTAATCGATTATCGTGGCCTTAAGAATTTACGATCATGATATTATCGCGATATATCTATTGGAAAATTTGAAAAAGAAAATGTTATCGGTGGAATTCATCGTTGACTTTTTGAATTGTTTTGTCTCTTTTTTCGGCAAATGAGTCAAACTCAAATACGAGTGTGGGGAGGTGGAGAGAGAGTCTGTGACCATAGCTGAAAAATGGATTGTGAGAAAGCAACCAGATGTACTTATACACAAAATCCACAACATGTGCCATGATAATATTATCATGTGTGTGTTATTAACATTATCATGTCATTTGTGTGTGTCAGGTATGAACGCCGCTGTGAGAGCCACAGTCAGAGTTGGTCTTTACACCGGAGCCAAAGTCTACTTTGTTCACGAGGTGAGGGCTGCGAACATTACACAGATGTGTCATAATATCACGAATAAATTCTTAAACTTCTGAAGGAGTCCGTATATTATCAAAGTTACACATTTATTTAAACCAGTCCATCAGGCATAACTGTATCTGTACCACAGTGTATGTTATCGTGTCCTGCAGGGATACCAGGGCCTGGTGGATGGAGGGGATAACATTCGCCCGGCCACGTGGGAGAGTGTGTCCATGATGCTTCAGCTGGTGAGTGAAGTGCAGTAAACAAAGCACAGACCCACACAACGCAACCTATACACATTAGCCAAGCTTCTTTTTTTTTTTTCCATGTAGACAGACAGTGATAAACTGAAATCTAGATAAATGTTCAAATGTGACAGACCTGTGTCATTAAAGGGTCAGCTCACCCAAATTATAAACAAATTGATTTTTCACTTAACTTCACTGCTGCTTAGCCATGAATATAGTTTTAATTTCTTTACTGTTACAATATAAAAGCATAATTACAAATCTCCCCATCTTTTATTTTATTTTTCAACATTCCCAGTCCCCTCCCAGGCGTATCTCTTACACAGCACACAACTCCCCCTGTCAGTAATGATGGAACAAAAACTGAAAGAGAAGAGAGAAAAAGTTTCCCAAAGGATTTCTCAGAGCTGCCAATCACCTCATAGTCTGGGTGCAAGTTGTCCAGGTTTTGAGATATCCATCTTGTACGACATCACTCTGGAGAATCCACAGAACATAATGTGAATAGTTTTCAGTTGTGGATCATCCAGGGTAACAGGGACACTTTTTTTTTTTTTAGCTGAACCGAAAGCAACATCGTGCCCTGAGTTCAGACTCACAGAGCTGGTCTTGTTATGATAGACATATTGTTGTTGAAGCGACCGAGTGACCGCCACAAAAAAAATTATATTCGCCTCCATTGTAGTGGGGCTAACAGCAGAAATCAGCAGAAAGAGGTGGATATCTGAAAACCTGTGCAAACAAAGTGAAAATATCTGCATGTCTGGACATGACAAGAGGTAAGTGAGAGAGAGAGAGAGAGAGAGAGAGAGAGAGAGAGAGAGAGAGATCTACTTTTTCATAATTTGGGTAAACTGACCCTTTAGCCTTTCAGGCACTTACCCCACTGGGAGTAAAGAGTTTCCTCCAGGTCTCCATGAGCTCTGATAACATGAGAGACTGTTTTTTGAGTGATGATATTAAATGGCTGACCTGGTCCTGTGACCGAGGGATGATGGAGGTGCAATAACATCGTTGTCATCTCTGTTGTCTAAATAAAGCAGCCTGGCAGTGGAGAAGACATGACATGCTAAGATTCATGAAGTGTGTGAAAGTGAGCAATGGAGTGGGCATGGGCCCTCCTAGGATATCATCTTTACAGTGCCTATTCAACATGATGCAACCCCCCGTGATGAGCCTTCAAGGCATCTTAACGTGTGTTATAAAGCTGCCCTAATGCCCATTTCTCCGTAGAGATTAGTATTTAAGGGGTAACAGGCTATTGGAGAACTTCTATTGAAAACATTGTGGGGTTAAATGTTACAATTTTCTTCCTCCACAGCCAGATAATCTTGGTGTATGAGTAACTGTGATAAAAAAAACAGCTTCTTCTCTTCACATGTTAGGGAGGTACAGTTATCGGCAGTGCCCGCTGCAAGGACTTCAGAGAGAGGGAGGGTCGTATGAAGGCTGCCCTCAACCTGGTGAAGCTGGGCATCACCAACCTGTGTGTGATCGGAGGTGACGGTAGTCTGACCGGAGCCAACCAGTTCAGGACTGAGTGGAGCGGACTGCTGGTTGACCTGGTCAAAGCTGGTAAAGAGAAAAAAACATAGTGCTGTGTCTGCTCAACTGTGTCTGTCAAAATGTCTGCCTGAGTTTCTTTTCTGGTCCGTCACTTAAAGATGGATTGGAGGAACAAAATGTCGGACTTTAATACTGTTTGTTTCCCGTGTCCTATCAATAGTGAGTGTGAATTGGTTGCCTGACCTTAACCACATTGCTGTTACTGATATCACAAGAGTGAAGGTCAGGTCAACCTCTAGTTATAATCCTTAGAATAATCCTTCAGATGTTCATTAACTCACACCCCATTTTTGATACTATTACTGTAATTATCAACACTAGCTCTCTATATAGTAGATTTCATCATTAGTGGAAGAGTTTTCTTATTTCCTTCTTTTTCTTATTACCTGCCTGTACATATACCACATTAGTTTGTTTGGCTGCACTGCAAACAGATAATACACTTGCCCTTCTGTTGCATTTCTGACAAAGCAGCTGCTAATGAGTTTTTGCTGCCGCCAGAATCCTATTACTATAATTAGAGAGCGGTGTGTGTGTTCTTGTGTCTCTCTCCTTGTAACTGCTCTGTCTAGGAAGCAGCTAGGGACACAAAATTTCTGGTTGAGTTGTTCCGTTATTTTTTTCCCTTGCACATGTGCTTTGTGATATGCCGTAATGCGTTAAAGAGGCTTGCTTTAGTGAAACGTGAAGACGCCAAATACAAGACATATAGTGCAGTAGAGAATCCCCAGAGAAGTCAGGTAAGTATTCGTAAGTACAGAAAATGGGCGAGTTGTAATCAACCCCCCCCCACAACCAGTGTTCGCTCTCTCCAGGAGAAAGAGAGCCACCAATGTTGAGGAGGAATGAGGAAGGAATAACAAATAACAATAAAAACTCAGCTATGATCACTCACTCTGTCAGTCACTCACGGACATTCGCGATTGTAGTGCTGGCCCTACTGTTGCAGTCCAGCCAAAAATCTTACTACCCTGGTTGGGTGGACATGGACATTGCAAGACCCAAAGGGAGCTTCGTTCTACACTCCCTTCATTCTCTTCACACTTGTCTCTAGTTCTGGAGATTATGATATTAAACTGCAGGGATGTAACCATATCAAACAGGACTGCTGAAATCTTAAGGATTATGAAGAAGTCAGATTTATTTATACAGGCTAATATCACACTTTAAGAATTTGCCCCAAGGGGCTTTACAATCCGTACAGGCACCCTCTGTCCTTAGACCCTTGAATTTGATAACGAAAAACTCCCCAAAAGAAACTTCAAGGTGAGGTGAATAAAACATACCTCATTACCAAACAAGGTAATTTGATTAATTGCTCCACTAAGCAGATGACAGCTCTGAAGTGGATCCTGAATTATAACCTGCTTTGTACAGGGGCTCTGTTTCAAAATGTATATAATAAATACCATCAAAAATGAATTTGTATTTAACCAAATTACTGTGGTCAGTGGGGGGCCCACAGCTCATTTCTGCTATGAACAATGCCTCTGAGAACAGAAAAGAGGAGGAAAAGAGAAAAAAAAGTTCTATGTGAAGAAGAAATGTTTTAAGGACAGTACAACTATAAAACTAATTGTAGGTATTATACATTACATTTATTTTCATTAACCAATAAAACATCTATTTTCAAATCGTCTGTAGGAAGAATTACAGATGCAGAAGCCAAGAAATCTTCCCACCTGAACATTGTTGGCATGGTCGGCTCCATCGACAATGACTTCTGTGGCACTGACATGACAATCGGCACTGACTCCGCCCTGCACCGCATCATCGAGGTGGTGGATGCCATCACAACAACAGCACAGAGGTCTGACATCACTGTACACCCCCACCCCACACACACACTCAACCCACCCCCACCATGTGCTTAGTGATGGAGAAATTATATATTAGTTCAGGTGGGATCGTAGCAACAGAGAAGAAAAGAAGACAGGTAGAAAAACATTAGAGTGTGAAACGATGCAGCATCAGGTCAGATACAGTCTCACTGAAGCAGTTTGCTTCACGGATTTATAAACGTTTAGTCTGTATGAGAGTGTACACCCAGAATATGCAGATGTTTAAATGTGTATTATGAAATGGATATTTTTGCAGGGCAAACTTATTACCCTACTTTCTTACCTGTAAAATATGTTCATCCACAGCCACCAGAGGACGTTCATCCTGGAAGTGATGGGCAGACACTGTGGGTCAGTACCTGGTGTGTTTGGTATATTTGTGTGTGTGTTGTGTACCGACGGGGACACCTCTGTGTGTGTATGTAATTAATATACAATGTGATTGCCTATTGTACCATTATCCATGCTACGATATGTATTTGATCATAAATGCTAAACAAAATCAGATCACATTCACATTCATTTTAATTCTAGTGATTATTTCAGCATGTATCAAATAAAAGTAATTGTTATTTGCATTGTTCACTTGCCGTGACATTACAAGCGTACAGGCAAAAAAAGTCTTTTTCAAAAACATTTTTAAAAAGTTCCTTTTAATGAATAATATCATACTGATCCACTGATTTACATAATGTCTCCATGCATTTTTTCTATTTCAGAAAATTCCATTTACATTTGCATTTACTTATTTGTCAGAAACCTTTAACCAAAGTGACGTATAAGTGAGGAACAACACTAAAGCTTCAGTGCTGTAGAAGACCTTGGCGTTAGCACTATCTATTCAATAAGTGCAAGGAGATCAGGTCAAGAAATGCACTGAAAGTGGATAGTAAGTGCTAGTTAAGCTAGTTAGACAAGAGATGAGTCTTCAAGAGATTTCTTGAAGCTAGATGGAGATGCCCCTGCTATGGCAGCATTTGGTAGATTGTTCCACCATTAGGGAGCCACAAACGAGAACAGTCTGGACTGTAAGGGTTTCACTGTGCGTGAAGGGAGGCCTGCTAGGATGGCATTGCAGCAGTTGAGGTGAGAGATAACCATGGCCTGGATCAGGAGTTGACTGGCGTATGACATGACCAGGAGACAGATGCAACATGGTAAGAGAAGGATAGCTGATCATCAAACATGGCACCCAGGTTTCTCGTGACCGTGGTAGGGGTAAGAGATGAAGAGATGAAGAGGTGATTTTGTCTTGGATGACATATCCACCATGACACACTGAAGGAGCAGCCATTGACATAGGATTCAAATCAAGAAAGCACATTGCCCGAGATGCCGAAATGAATATAGACAGCAGGATGCAGTGGTTCACCATATCAAAGGCTGCTGATAGATCCAGCAAGAACTGAGGACTGAGCTGCAGCTCGAGCCGCCCTTAGTGGCCGTTCTTAAAGTCCGACTGATTTGGATCAAGGAGGTTGATCCGTGAGACGAAATTCTGCTTGAAAACTGCCCTTTCTATACACTTAGATACAAATGGAAGTAGTGTGCCCGGTCGAAAGTTCTCCACTTGAGCAGGGTCAAGTGAGGAGCAGAGGAGTTACCCAAGCCTGTTTGAATGTGGTGCCTGGGGAGTTATCCGAGCCTGTTTGAATGCAGTGAAGCATTTATCACATGTGTTATTACTGGCACAATGGTGGGAGATATGGCTTGGAGGATGTTTGTGGGAATGGGGTCTAGTGCACATGTAGTAGGGCAGCTACCTGTCAGAGAACGTGTCCTCAACCTGGGGAGGCTGGGAAGGACGTGGTAGGACCACTACATGTTACACTTTGTTCTGAGCCTTTTACTGAGCCAGAGGGTTGAGTGAGGGAGGTGGTGAATTACTGACTGGAGGAGGCAGAGAAGGACATGTGGGAGACTGGTTGTCTCTGACAGGTTCAGAGAATTTGCAACTTTCAGTAAAGAAGGAAGCAAAGATATCGGCTGAGAGATTTGCGTGTGGTGGCGGAGGACTAAAGTTTTGAAGGTGGAAAGATTGTTTCAGAATGTCTGTCGTACTGCTGATGCTATCAAGGTAAAAAGTTGTTTTGGCAGCTCTGATGCTGGAGGAGAGGGAGGATAGGAGTGACTGATAACCCTTGAGGTCAGCGGGGTCGCTGATTTTATGCCATTTTCTCTCAGCAGACCAGTACGCGGCTTTCGGATGGTGTCAGTCTGCTATGGGTGAGGCAGGTTTAGTGAATAGGGGATGCAGGTTATCCAGAGATGCTGTGGCATCATGAGGAAAATGTGCTAATAGGGGGCAGAGCGTAGGTGACCATGGAGGAAAAGCGGGTGGGAGACAAGTTGCTGAGGTTGTGGCGGAATGAAACAGCGGTGGCGGGATGGACAGCAGCTCCGGGAGGTAAACAGTGAAGCAAAAGACAGGAAGTATGGGCGAATGTGTAGTTAAGGGTAGCAGTGGTTTCAGGATTGATCCAGGTCTCAGTGAGTGCCAGAAGCTCCAGGGATACCTGGTTATTATGGGCGGAAATGAAATCAGCTTTGTTAACTGCAGGTTGGCAAATCCATGGTCCAACAGAGAAGTTTGTCAGAAAGGTTTAAACTGTACATTTTTCCAGACGTAAGCCTGAATCATCTACAGATACAGCTGGTACATGGGTTTTATCTCGGCTGCAGGTACCTGGCCCTGGTGACGGCTCTGGCCTGTGGCGCCGACTGGGTGTTCATTCCAGAGATGCCACCAGATGAGGGCTGGGAGAACCACTTGTGCAGGAGGCTGACAGACGTATGTGTGTCTTTATCTGCAGATGGAGAAGCCTGCCAACAACATCTCTGTACACACGTCAGTCAGAATGCACAACCGTATTTTTTTATTTCCTTTGATTATTCTTTCAGCAAAGGGCCCGAGGTTCTCGTCTGAATGTGATCATTGTAGCTGAGGGTGCGATGTCCAGAGAAGGCAAACCGATTACATCTGAACAGATTAAAAAGGCAAGCACTTCCTCATGATATCAGTGAGAGACAACACTACAAGTACCGCAGACAATATCACATACTGACAGATTGCTTTGCTGTTCCTTAGCTGGTGACTGACAGGCTCGGCTTCGACACTCGCACCACTACTCTAGGACACGTACAGAGAGGTGGCACACCCTCCGCCTTCGACAGAATCCTGGTGAGCAATAGATGCTGTAAAGAACAGCCTACATTTCTGACTCTGCGTCTCCTCACACACGCCTGATGATCTGACTGTGTGTGTGTGTTCTTGTGTGTGTGTCGTGTGTCGTCCAGGGCAGCAGGATGGGAGTGGAGGCCGTGATGGCGCTGCTGGAGGCCACTCCAGACACTCCTGCCTGTGTGGTCAGCTTGTCCGGGAACCAGGCGGTCAGACTGCCGCTCATGGAGTGTGTGCAAGTGGTACGTCCAAATATTTTTCAACCCGGTGTGAAGATTTCACTTTCTGTACTTTCTTCGTGTGTTGCTCTTCTTTGTTGTGGAGGATATGTGCTGACATTACAGTAAGGGATTTCTCCATCTTTCTCCCTCTCACACTCTCTGTCACTCTCTTTCGTTGACAGACCAAAGATGTGACTGCAGCCATGGCTGAGGGCAGATTCGATGATGCTATCAAGCTCAGAGGAAAGTATGTATTTTCCTCTTAAGATTAGTATAATAGCAGTGAACAATTCAACTGATCCAGCAAACATTGTTTTTGAGTGTAACATGACGCACCAAGGAGCCACGACAGTGTCAATCAAATTATTATTATTATTATTGTGATTAGACTTTTATCATGTTTTTTGTATTAAATGAATAAATTGCAGTGTGCAACCTAAAAGTTTAAGTCCCCCTCCAACTGAAATTGTGTTCTGCACATTTTTACTTCACTCAAATGTTTGGCCTTCATTGTGCAGAATGATGTTTGATACTAAAAGGCTGTTAACACATTCATCTGCTGGAGGGGGGAATTTTTAAAGATTAGAAAAAGATTAGAAACTTCTTCTGTTAAAGCTTTCTTTAACTCACGTGGAAGCCAATTATGGTTCAGTGTACAACTAACAGAAAGGTGATGTGGCAACTTGAAATCTCTAGTGCACATACACTAACAATAGACACTTTGGTGAAGTAGGAGACATCATTTGTCCAGTTGTTCAAGTTTTGAAATTTATAATATTTGCGTATTTAAGATTCTGGAGAGGGAGTAGATGTAGGTTTATTTAAGTTTTAAAGAGGTAACTGAACTATTTTTCAATCAAATAGATATCAAAGCATTTAAAGAATTAAAAAAAAAAAATCTTCAAACATGTCTGGAGGGTATCACAATCAATATCACCCTTGAGATTTTTAAAAAGAAAAAGATTGATTTTAATTTAGCACAGAGCAACCAGCACTCAGCTGTATTTATTATTTGCAGGAGTTTCGAGAACAACTGGAACACATACAAACTTCTGGCTCACATCAACCCCCCAGATGTTAAGGTGAGGACAATCCATTTTGTAAACCAGACTTTTTTCTTTTTTTTTTTTTAACAAACCAATGAGTTATATATTTACACCAACACCTTCTTCTCCAACAATCTCTTTCTCTTGCTGCCAGAGTAACATCAATGTGGCCGTCATGAACATCGGAGCCCCCTGTGCTGGTATGAACGCTGCAGTCCGTGCAGCAGTCAGGATGGGCCTCATCCAGGGTCACAACATGTTGGCTGTCCATGACGGCTTTGACGGTCTGGCTCATGGACAGGTGGCTGCACATTTCCCCCTTTTGTTAAGATTTGATGAAATTTGGAGAATGAATTTAAAAAAATATATGTTTCGTCATCCTGAGCCAAGGAATCCAGAAACAATGTATAATGTGTAAATGTTTAGACTAGACTGAATTAGCCTTTAGCTTGCTATGTATCAAACTGAAACTGATGAATGGGGCCAAAAACATAATAACAACACAACTGATAACTGTAATATTACTATGACAAGTAATGGTAACAGGCACAATATTTCAGGTATTAGTACTAATGGTGAATGGTGTATGTTTTTAATGGTTTCTTCCACTGCAGGTTGAGCCCATCACCTGGACTGCAGTCAGTGGCTGGACTGGAAAGGGAGGCTCAATGTTGGGCACCAAGAGGTATCAAACATCAGCTAAAAATCCTTATTGTTTTGCTTTATTGAAAAGAAAAACTTGTCATTAGACTACAAGCTGTTCACGGCGTTATTTGTCTCTGTTTAATAAAGAACTCTGCCGGCTAAAATACTGGAGGAAATCAGCCAGAACATCGCCAAGTTCAACATCCACGCTTTGGTGATCATCGGTGGATTTGAGGTAAAAACAGGACAGCCACTCTTCTCCTATAAAACCAGAAGTCGTGTGTAAATGTTTCTCTCAGCCTCAGTGATGAATTCACCAGTGATATGAAAGCACACAAACAAATGAATCTTCACCTTGTGCCCTGTTGCAGGCCTATGTGGGAGGCCTGGAGCTGGTTCAGGCCAGGGAGAAATATGAGGAGATGTGCATTCCCATGGTGGTTATCCCCGCCACCGTCTCCAACAACGTCCCTGGCTCCGACTTCAGCATCGGCGCTGACACGGCCCTCAACACCATCACCGCGGTCAGTGCTGTAACACACACACACACACACACATATATAACAATCAGGAGCTAAACCTGTCTAGTATATTCCTCTGCAGACCTGTGACAGGATCAAGCAGTCTGCAGCAGGAACTAAACGCCGCGTGTTCATCGTTGAGACTATGGGTGGTTACTGCGGCTACCTGGCCACCATGGCTGGTCTGGCTGCCGGGGCTGACGCTGCCTACATCTTTGAGGACAAATTCAACATTAAAGACCTGGAGGTGAGCCAATCCTGCAAGAACGGGACCTGTTTGTCCACTTTTTCAAATTTTAAGTCATAATTTTAATGACAATGTTAAAGTCTTAGTGACGGGTGCATAGGATCAAAAACTCTTGACTGGAGAAGAAAACCACTGATGGACAGTGGGCGGTTGGATTCTTTGGTTTTCTTCTCCAGTCACCAGGTTTCAGTTTTAAACGTTTCTGTGGCTTGGGAAGTGACGTGTTGCGGGTGTTTGAATTGTGGATTTGGTCTACAGGTGAATGTAGAGCATCTTGTGGCGAAGATGAAGACAACAGTGAAGAGAGGTTTGATTCTCAGGTGGGTTTTGTTCACGTGTGACCCAGAAGGGCAGCTGATGTGAATTGAGCTAAACTGTCATTACATATGTGGTCAAAGCTGAGTTAAGACCAGAATGTGTTATAGAGTCTCTTCTACAAATGAAAAAAAACATCATAGGAACTACAACACAGATGTAAAAAAAACAAACTGCACTGACTGTACTCTGGCTGGTTAACGCTAGCTGGTGAGATTTTACCTGTTTCCTGGAATATTATATTTTTATATTATATATTTTGATGGTTCAAGATCATTGAGTTTTTTTTTTTTTTTAAACCACATAAATAACACAATAGCTAAATCTTAAATCATAAAGAAGGTAGAAAGGAACACCTTTATATAGACGCTCAATAGTAAACAATTAGTTCAAATGTATGAGAGCTAAGAAAAAACAAGAACATATTTTATGTGTGGATACTGTGTTTCCTTTTCCAAATGGAGCAAATTAATATATTAATTATTAATTTTGTGAGGCTTTTTTAACAGTAATTAATAATAAAAAGACATAAAAGTGAGGTTTTACCATTTATATATCTTATTTCTATATCAACTTCACTGTTTCTGTAGTTACTGCTCCTTTGTAAAGCAGAATAATTTTTAAATATCCATCATCTGGATAAATATTTAGTGATACTGAGTATTAAAACCAGTTAACACACACATGTTGCCGGTTACATTTAATCATTTATTTATTAAGCAGAGACTAGTTAACAAGTAGGAATGGCAAACATTTACTTCATAACCCATAAATAATGAATTCAAAATTTGCCCTTTTCACCATGTAAAAACAGATAACTTCTCGTGGGGGATTTTAACACATTCTGTATCTACAGGACACAACTACTTGATTATCTACTATCACTACGTTATTTTCACTGACAAGCACAGCTGTAAATTATAAAATGAACGATGACTGAATTCCATCAAGCTGCCTCGGAGTCTTGGGTCACTGTCTTACCGGGATACTTGAACAGAACAGAGCCATTGATTAATGTTATTAGTAACACTTGTTCTTTTCCTGCTGTGATGAGTCACTTCATATCCTTCCTGATAACAGTAGAATAATCTGTCACTGTTCGTTCTGCAATAGGAACGAGAACTCTAATTCCAACTACACCACCGACTTCATCTTCAACCTGTACTCAGAGGAGGGCAAAGGTATCTTCGACTGCCGTAAGAATGTTCTGGGGCACATGCAGCAGGTCTGTGTAGAAATAAAAAGTGACTGATTTTCTCCTTTTTTTGCTTTCTACATTAAAACGTGATTGCTGACAAATGTGTCTGTCGTCTACAGGGTGGCACTCCAACGCCCTTCGACAGAAACTTTGGCACAAAAATGGGAGCCAAGTCTGTCTTGTGGCTGACTGAGAAACTCAAGGAGTGCTATAGGCATGGTATGTTGATAAAATCAAATTCTCCTGCTGCACATTGTGATGTTATATAATAATACCAACAGGCAGTGCTGGAATGTATCTGCGTTTATTAACTGTACCTAAATTTTGTGCTCACTTTCCTTCATATGCTACTAATGCTAAACTTAAAGGAACTATATGTAAGTTTTTGCTATTGCTACATAACCAATGTTAGCATCAACAGCTGTTTACTTACCAGTCTACAAGAAATGTTGTGAGTTCAACATCAAACTTTATTCCTTTACTCGCCAAGAGATGTCTCCAACAGTGGACAGCAACGCCAACGTTAACTCTTGTTTTGCTTCTATTTCTATCACTTCTTTTCTTCTACTGAAGCTAGCATGCTAACCAGCTAGCCCTGAGCTGGCCAGAACGTCTCGTCACTTTCCGATAGAGAGTAACTGCAGTGTCCGGTCTACCTAGAAGAAGTAGTGCTGCTGAGAGGCAGTATTATGTCCTGTATTATAACCGCAACTATGGCTAATAAAATATGATGATGTATCAAACTACCCAACAGTAGTTAAAATTTACTAAACCTAGAAAAGTAAAAAAGAAAAAACAAAAGTAAATCCTACTTACATATTAATGCACATCAAGTTTATGGGGACTGACTCACTGTTGGAGCCAGACAAACGCGGCCATTCGAAGAACTGCAGTTTTGGTACTTCTGTGTTGGCTTCACTTTTCAGACTCGGAGGTTGCTGCTTGGTGTTAACTGAGCTGTTTCACTTCCTTTGTCCTTCAGGCCGTATCTTCGCTAACACACCAGACTCTGCCTGTGTGCTGGGCATGAGGAAGAGGGCGCTCACCTTCCAGCCACTTGCTGAACTGAAGGGAGACACAGATTTTGAGTAAGATACATGTTTTCCATAGGACATACTGCACTACAAGTAACAAGTGTGATGGTGAACAGTGACTTTGACTGATCCCTCTGTCTGCTGCAGGCACCGCATCCCAAAGACAGAGTGGTGGCTGAAGATTAGGCCCATCATGAAGATCCTGGCCAAGTACAACATCAAATTAGACACATCCGAACACACTGATATGGAGCATGTGATCAAGAAGAGGAGTCCTCTTGGGAAGTAGAGTCAGTCTGCTCTCATAGAGCACAGGGATAGAGCAAGGCAAATTGTCTGTTCAATTACAATTTTTCTTTCTTGCCCAACTACCTGTCCACATGCCTTGGTAAAAGAGCTGCTGTCTTACTCTCTTATCCTGAATGTGTGCATCTTCGTTGAATTTAGTGTTTTGTGGCATTTCCAACTCTCAAAAACCTTTTCATGAATTAACTTTGTAGAAGATGCAAGGTTTTAAGAAGCAGATTAAAGATACATTTCAAAAAATATGTCCCATGTTGTTGATTTATGTTAAATGTAGAATGTGAATGTGATTGATGAAATGAATGTATATCACTAGGAGGATCTAATTCTCAGTATTCTGGATTTTTTTTTTTAAATTTTTGCTCAGTTTCACTTAAACCAAGCTCATGGTGTGTTTAGTTGAGAGCTTGTAAAGCCTGTCACCAAATTACATATAAAACATACAGTATTGTCTGTGTTGATTCTCAGTCATCCAGGCCACAGGAAGTCCAGCTATATCTAGAAGTATCAAAGGTGACTGGATTTACTGTGAGTCAGCAGATCAAACACATCACAATGTCTGTGATTATTAATGAATTTTTCAGTCATTGATTCATAATTTTCTTCATTTATAAACATGTTTTCTTTATTTTGGAGGGAACCTTAACTGTGGACCCTTTCTATCTATGTAAATTGAAGTGTTTTCAGTGGCTTATCAGATGTTCTTAATTGCATCTCAAGTGGGACAAAAAGTGATTAAATCACAGCTCTTCCTTTCTCTTGCCACTCAAGAGGTCACAGACCATTCATTAAACCTGCTGGTGTCACTGAACACCACTCATGATCATTACCATGGTGCCAGTGTATTAACTCAAACATATGAGAAAAACTTTTTCTATTGTTACTACTGAGCACACAAACAAAGACTTCACTGCAACATATACTGTATTGTAAAAAAAAAAAGAAAAAAAAAAAAGCTTTTGGAACATTATTGATCAGCTTCTTGTCCATCATCATCAGCCAGAGTCAAAGAACTAAATTCAACAATAAAATCAAGGAGTCCTGTAACAGATGTTCTGGCCTCCACAGAGCCCTGAAGTCTCCATCATAGAGTCAGTCTGAGATTACATGAAGAGACAGACGACACTGAGGCGGCCTAAATCCACAGAAGTTCTCTAACAACCTACCTGCCAGGTACCATGAAAAACTGTGTACCAAGCAGAACTGGCACAGTTTTAAAGGCAAAGGGGGATCACACCAAATAATTATTTAATTTATGTTTTTCTCTGTTTATTGCACTTTGGTTGACTTATTCTCACTTTACTTTTAGTGGCTAAAACTTTCTGTTCTGTATATATTAATTCCCTAAATGCATAACACAACAAAACAGATGAACTGGAGTAGCCTATTTATAGTTATTGAAATTTTCTTGAAGGATTTTTAGGTCTAACAAGAAGGAGGATGTTTTTGATATTTTGATATGTTTGTTTCTTATAGGTATATTGCACAAACATGGTTTGTTTTTTTTAATTTAGAAATTAAACAAAGGTTTTTTGGATGCACAGACTTAAGTTTGGATGTAATCTTCAATTTAAAAAAAATAATTAAGGTATTTGTGCATTTAATAGGCTGTCTCAAAATCCTCTATGTATTATTCAGCATTAGAACAAAAGTAGGTACTCAAAGTTACTCATCGCTAAAACAGATTGCAGTTACCCACAGCACGTAAAATTTGGGTTAAAGGCTGCAGTACAACTACAATCAACAACTAAAATCCTGCGGAAAACTACAGTGCGGGTCCGGAAAAGGAAAAGGAAATGGTTTCTGCAGAGGTCACCGAGAACTCGCGGTGGCAGCCGGGACGTCGGCGGACTGTGTGCCTGCGCTGAGGAGAGGTGCGTGTCCCCAGTGTCCGCTCCGGTCGCCCGGTTAGGAATGCGCCTCACGAACCCGGTGTGTGGTGTAATATTCGGTGAAACGCCAGCGGGGACTGTGGTGTAAGAAGAGTCATGGTTTGGCATCGCTTGTACCATTAGTGTCTCGGCGTGCAGGTTTGATTCATTGAGCTAGCTACCGTTAGCCCGCTTCGTTGATTCATAGCACGCTAGGTCGCTAGCCTCCTTCTGTAGCGTACCTGCTAGCCGGTTAGCTAGCTAGTAGCTAGTTTGAGTGCGCTGCTGCCCGATCCAGTCCGACAGGAGAAGACCAGACTGACTGCTGAATACAGCCGGTGTTTCCGAAAGAGGAGGTGGTGGTGGCAGGCGGGGGCCGGGAGAACGCGACGGGGTGGAAGTGAGTCAGGAGCGGCTGATGAGTTCAGACCAGAGCGGGGAGCCGCCGCTGCTGCAGGAGGAGGCTGATCCGGGACCGAAGACCGGTGGGAAGGACGAGGCTCCGCTGGGGAGCGAGGGAGGGTCAGGCGGCATGGTGAGTGAGGCCTTCTTTAGCTACCGAGCTAACGCTAACTGGCTAAGCGACTGCCACTCAGTGGAAACCTGTTAGCACAGAACGCCCCCCCCCCAAACGTGAGCAGCGATATTTATTAAGCAGCAGCTAAATTTAACACAAACAAGGCATGATTAAAGATAGTAAGTCTCGGCACGGGTTCGACTTTGTGACTATTTGCGTAATCACTTTCTGATAGCGGTTAATCGTGAGGTGATGTTGATTATCAAACAAAAACACAGGACATACGGCAGCACTTGCACAACTACTAACTTGCAGGCAGATTATTTGAGTCGCTCACCATCAGCCGGATCTCCACTGCAGCTCCTTCAGATACATGGCTAACATTAGCTTAGCTACTGTAACCAGCAAGCTCATTAAGTAGTTTGCTGAGTAATCATTAGCTTATTAGTTAAGTTATGATACAGCTGTAGAGGGACGTCAGTGCTGTTTGGAGCGGACAAGTATGGGATGAGTTTTTTTTTTTCAAATCTGTACGTGATCGATGCTTCAGTTATTGGCCGAAGGATGAACGTTCATTCAGCCTGTTATCTGTTAGCTAATCGCGCTGCTAGCTAACCTAGCTAGCGCAGTGACATGCGTTGCAAATACCTGGCCTGTGCTGCGCAGCGCAGTCAGCTGACATTACTTGGCTTGCTACGGCCTGTAACACAGAAGCATGCATTGTAACCATGTGTCAAGTTGCACGGCGCATAAATTTTCGTGCTCATTTGAATGATACGGAGGCCTAACCATTGAACACATCCATTCTTGTCTAGCTGGTGAAGAGAGGTGACTTCAGGCGTATTATGACTGGCAGCTGTTCTTGTCAGGCCCGGTGCTTTTGCAAAAAAAAGGGAGTGGATCTATTAGCAGGTGGAGAGTGACAATGTCAAAAGAAGGAGCTGGTACATTTGATAGTTACTGACGTTTCAAAATTAAAGCATCCCTCTTAGTATAAAAACACAATCCACATTTAGTTCCCATCAGTTTCTATGTGCCTTTTTAATATGTACTGTACATGATCTATTCTTGGCCACAGATCTTTGCAGGGTCAGGATTTCTCCTGCCAGTCCACAGCTCCTCTGATATAGAGACCAAGCAAATCGTTGAATAATGCGCATCAAAAATGTAAAATGTTGTTGAAAGTAACATAAAATACTCTCAGCATTATGTTAGTTTGTTGTTTTACTCAGTTGTATCCATGTTTTATTACTACAGACATTTTGGTTAGACAAAGCCATAATAATCATTCTCCTCCTTGAAGCTAACAGGGTAACAGCCTCTTTTGTTAACAGGGGATCATGGGGTCCTATATAGGCACTTTTCATTGTACTTCTCTGGTTTTCAATTATTTGCCATGGAAGCCCAGTGGTATGCAGGTGTTCCCGCCATCCACTACAACAGTACACCAGGTGATTTCATTCAGTGCCCCCACAATATAAGGTTAAAGTAATTAGTGAAGTCAGAACGTGTAGTGATGGTTGGCTGTAACCGTTGTGCTCTCAGTAACCCATGGCACTTTGCAGGGGACCACAGTTTCCTTGTTAAACTGTCTGGTTTTTTTTTTTTATGTATGTTGCTGGCTTTGTTAAAGCAGACGTGCCATCGCACATGCAGAACAGATGTAATATTTACTTTTAAAACAAAAGGTCACATTTGATCTTGAGTTCCAGACAAACTCTCACTTGAGGGAGATAATTTGCATTTGATGCTGTTCACATAAGTGTAGCAATTTAAATATTAACTGGTTATTGTTCCAGTTTTATTGTGAGATTAATATACTTGCCATTAAGTGACTTAATGTCTTATTGTTTATTGATTTTCCAAGTCAATTGCTGTAATTACATGAGGTTATTAAATTGACCTCAGGTTTTCACCTTGATAGCCATAGTTTTCCTATAGCCATTGAATCTGACATAATAGCTATTTGGTTTATTTTAAGAAATTGAAGATGCTTGGTACTTCCTACTTAACAGCTCAGACTTTTTTCAAAAACTTCTGACAACAGTCTGGGATTAGGTAAAATGCCAAGCAGAGAGTATATAGCAAATCTGAGGTAAATCAGCGTGAAAATTAAGTACATGATACGCAGCGTAGTGTAGGTCTAAACTGTAGATGCAGCATATTAATCACATTCAGGGCTATTCAGATATAAATAAACTGTCAAACTGCAGCAGTCTGATGTAGATAACTGACAGCTTTACATGCACAATATTATCTACAATTTTCCTTGTCCCTGTGTATGTTTGAAATGTTTGAGCGAAAATGCAAACATAATTCTGATCTTGTTGATATGAGTTGTGCTCTCCTGATCCTGCTGTTTTTACCCTGAAGGTCACCTCTAAGGGCGCCGGTTTGAACCCAAATGCCAAGGTGTGGCAGGAGATGCCTGTGGCCCCCAGCGAGGCTGTTACCAACAGCCCTCATTGGCCCCCCTCAGACATGAGTGAGGGTGAGATACACTTCTATCAGCCGAATTCAATATCCATTTAAAAGTCCTAACTTATTTTATTACAGTTTACAGCTTTGAAGTGCGAAAAAACAATTTCTTTGGAAAAGTGGACATTATCATATCCATGTCTATTGATATAAATACTAACTTTTTTCCCATTCGACACCTGCTGTAACAGTTATTCTCATGCTTAAATGAAATTTTGCCTTAAGATCTCGATTTTTTTTTTTTTTTTAGTTTTTATACTTTCCTTGACAACATCTACAAACATCTAAACTTGATCAATTTACAACCACAGCACTATGGAAATGTATGGATGGACTTTGAAAACAAGCGAGGTGAAGCAGGTCCAGAAATTG